GGTCAGTTATGTCATCCAACCTCCCCCGGTCAGGTCAGACCGTCAGGCCCAGGCTCACGGTCCTCGGGCGGTATCGGCTCAAGACATGCCGCTCGAGCCTCACTATTTGTCTTGGGGCTACTCGTCAGAAATAAACAGTCACCCGGATTGTGAGTACGGATATGGCTGTCGAAAAAAGTTGACAGCTCTGAAGCAAGAAAGAGTGTTGTTTCAGCCATACGCGAGTGGAAATTGGAGGATATCTTGAGGACCTAAAACGGAGGAAAGACGGTTGTATTGCCGGCGACTTTTGGCATGGCTCGTGTTCTCAGATTCAGGTGAGCGTGCCTGATTAGGCAAAGCCCCCCGGCTGACCCGGCTCTTTCTGGCCTGGTGGGCATTCGATAGGGCAAAAGGCCGACGTCATGCTGGCAGAACCAGTTACTCTTCTGTAAAGTCGGTTGCGAATAGATGATGGGTTGGGCGCCAGAGCAACCTAGAGTTGTATGTGTTGACGCTTTTGACAATGATGGAAAATCATGACCCGAAGCATCGCTGCCGGGCAAAGGATCTGGAAGAACTGCACTGTAGACCAAACAACTGGGATTGTAATTGCATCTGGGCATAGCCGCCTGGCTCTGAACAGTTGGCGACGTTGTCTTTAGCCATTGACGAGTTGTCTCAGGTAAAGGCTTGCTTGCGAAAGACTCGACAGGTTGTGGTGAAAAGCCGTGTCTCAGTAAAGCGCCTGGCATCCCGCAGCCATCACATAGTGCCGCGCGGTCTGGCCAGCGCTTCTCGATGGATTGCAGACTGCATGGCCTGTTAGTTAGGCCCGATACGGGTCCGGCCATCTTGCAGCGGTTCGGCCACCCGCCGAAGAGAGAAAAGGATGCTTAAATCTAAAACGAAATCTAAACCGAGAAAAGGTTGCAGTTTGGCGATCCACACACTCGAGGGAGCCGCCGAGTAGCCTAGAAGCTGTGGCTGTACTCCGTAAATCAAGAGCGAAACCACCGCTGGCGTTACGTTGTCGCTGAGGTTGCAACAAGCCGTGTGTGTTGTCCTGATCATTGGGTCCAGCTTCCACAAAGAGGTAGACTGATAGCCCACATTCGGATTCGTTGGCTTCGGGTGGCTGACTTGGTGAAACAAACCGTTTCCTCGGAACGAGCTCTTGAGATGGCAATCAGGCCAAGACACGATGGAAGACTCTTTGGCCTGTTATTCTGGACCGGTCGAAGGCCAAGCATTGTGACGTCTATTGACGTGTGATTTTGCAGTTGACCCGAGGATAGACAGCCGCACAGCGAGGAGGAACCATCCACAGGTCTACGAGGCTCACGGCGATAACTAGTAGAGATATCCGTACAATGCGCCAGATTGAAGCTGGCGAGCAGGCCTTTTTCGGAAGCAAATAGAGGTTTAGACGGATGAGTAAACAATCCCGATAACTAGTAGCGGGCCGTTCGTTTTGGTTGATCTGGGCCGGTTGACCGAGCCGCGATATCTTGGCAACACGTTGGAATTGAATATACCCAACACGATATAATATCGCTTGACAGGCGTGGCAACCAGACTGGGTCCTAGATCGAACGATGTGAAGCGAGCCTATTCTTCTCAGAAGAGGGTAGGCGGCGTGGCAGCGCAGGGAGCAAAAGCGAGGGAAGGAGGTCAATCGAACGGAAGCGAACAACGCCCAAGAGCTATCGTGGAGCTTCTGGCCAGAAGGTCTGAGCATCGTCGACCAGGATGCAAACCAATGTCGATGGATTTGGGCAACAGGGCCGACAGGTCGCGTCATGATCGGGTAAAGCGTGCTTCGAGGATTTGGGACCCCCGGGATCCCAGGTGTTCTTGCTCTCCTCTGAAGGGCATAGCCTCTCGAGGTTCCGGCGTGCCCTGGCTGACAGACTTTTTCTTCGGGAGCAAGGGGTCCAGGGTAGCAGGATGGAGAAGGATTGCGATCGAGGTGGACTTTGAATGCAAGTGTATGACCATCTGGATGTAGATTGATGCTTTTTCCTTGCAGAGTTGGGGTGATGGAGTCGAGCCTCGAGGTGAATGGATGTTGAAGTGGTGAACCAGGGGGAAAGAAGTGGCGGCGGAAGGACCACGCCGCGAACAAGGCTCCAGGGGTACCAAGTGGAAGTGAAAAGTTGTGGAGGGGATGACCCCGGGCAAGCAGGGGGAAGAAGAAGGAGCAGGGGAGGGGAAGAATCCCCTCCTTTTGGCAAGGCAAGGCAAGGCAAGAAGCAGGGGAGGAGCAGTGGCAGGGATTCAAGGTAACGTCCTGGGTTGCCCTTTCCCAAGAGGTTTCCTTTCCGCTGGTCATTGATTGGCTCCGAGGTGCTGTTCCTGCATTAGCGCAACGGAGAAGCTGGCGCTGTGGCTGAGCGTTTCAACTTTGGACTGGGCAAGGAGCCCCTCGCTTGGTTGGTGGGAGAAGTCGCCAGAGGAGAGGATGCAGAAGACTCGAGAGGCTATGGACAGTTCAAAGGAACAGACAGGCGGCAAGGAGTCGGGATGCAAGTAATGAGTGTCTGTGTCAACTGACAAGTAGAAAGCAGCCCAAAGCAACCCTCTGGGTCTCAAAGGAGCCGTTGTTCGGAGCATGACAGGACAGAAAGGGTCATGGGCGGCAGGGAACTACCTAGGAAGTTGAGTTGATTCGTCGAGTAAGTGTCTTGACTTCTTGGGGAATGAGTTCAGGTAAGATAGGTGTGAATAAATTGTCTGTTGTCTCTTTCAACTTTGTGAGGGTGACTTCAGATGATCTGGCAGCTGTCATTGGCTGGCCCCTTTCCACAGCCATGAGCTTCTTTCGTCCAATGCTTCCGTCCTTCAGGTGGGAGTACCGACGGGAGGTACCTTACACCAATGGGCCCAGGTGCCATACACGGGTACGCAGAGTGGTCCGCGTATTATCGACTTCCATCTATCTGGAGGGCTAGGGTAAGGTAGGATGGACCGAGAATTGATTTTTGCAGATTGAAAAATTCGATAACAAACGTTGACAGTCTCCCCCTTCTCTAACTGTCTGTATCTGTCTGCACTGCAACTCAAACTTTGCTAAGGCGATTCTTGAGACGCTCCATAGAGTGAGGCTGAGATGGATACGGATGCAGGCTGGAACACGGTTAACAGCATCAACCTTTTAGATTAACTTTGGGTGACCTTTTGCTAGGCCTAAAATACACACGGGTAATGATTACGTGCAGCATTCGGAGCCTCCATACGTGCCTTGCCGCCGTGTTGATCTTCCAAAGAGCCCCAAAGTGGTGGATGGGCTGACGTTAGGCGCGGAGGCCAGCGTATCGAGGCATCCTGGGGCATCCCATCCACGCCGTTTATTGGAGGGCGAAAGGCGGCGGCGAGTCCGTTTGAGACGTCCAGATTCGCCGTAGTTCAACCTCAGAGACTCCAGTCCGTAATAATCCACGATTGGCTGGATGGGAAGCGGTGGGGTTTTTGGATGGATGTGTGGATGGCGGGGCGGGTACGGAGTACGGAGTACCTGAGGTCTTTCTGCCCCTGACTAAAGTAAAAGCCACCCACCGATGGGAAAGAATTGGTGCACCCTTGGGGTTACAGTGTCTTGTGAGCAGAGTCGCAACCGACAACCAAAAGTGTGTGAAGTTGGAGAGCGATTACCAAATAGACTGGCTAACAATGAGCCATTCCCAATACGGGATAAGGTACAGTTACAACGAGTCGCAGATGGTAAGCCACGGGGTCACTTAGATCGGGGTAGGCGCCCGTTGTCCCCTCAAAAGATCCAAAAAGGCGTCCAGTCTCTACTCTGTTCTGCTGGGGGAGAGATTCAAATTCCCTGTGGCGTCAAGCCTAGATTTCAGATCAAGCCCGGCGAGAGAAAAGCAAGCCTCTGGGGAAGGATAGCGCAAACGGCCAGCCTAGAACTGCACTCCAGACTCTCGTCTCTGGTACCTATGCATCCGCACCTTACTTCACCACAGAATGAAGACTCAAAAGGCGCACCCGTCTTTTCTTGCAGTCGACAGTCTGCAGACTGCAGGGGGCTTGGTAGAGAGAGAGAGCCAGCTCACAGCTTGGGCCTTCTCACGTCGTCGGCGACCGGGTCTCTTTAGGTAGGCAACCCCTGTCCCTGCTCTTTCCTGTTCCTGAACGGGACAGCATTGGATGGCAAGGGGGGAAGGTCACCAAGTGTACGTACCTGACTACTCACTTTACCGCCCGAGCGTCACGGCGGCGGCAAAACAAAGCGCAGAACTGGCAGATGGCAACTTTGCAGTCTGCATCCTTCACCACCGTCCACCGCCCACGGTCTGCGATCCACGATCCATGGCACCCGGTTCCTGTTTGGATACAGGATGCACAGAAGCAGACAGTCAGACTTAGACTACCGTCAATGTCTAAGACAGACAGACAACCTGCTGCCCCTCGCTCGCTCGCTCCCTCCAGTCATCTGAAAGTCGCAGACGGCGGCACCAAAGCGTACGCACCGACCTCATCTCATCTCCATCCGCAACTCACAGACTCGACTCAACATCTCACTCTCACTCTCACTCTCACCAAGTCCAGCCCACCGACGCTGTCTGGCTCGTCTTGCATTCGCTTCCCGTCTTTTCCGTCCGCCCATGGCTTTGACGGATCGTCGACACCTTCATCTCGAGCATAACAGGCGGTGCTCTCTAGTCTCGGTCCTGCATCAACCGCCATCTCCACATGGCGTCCGTGTTGCTATTCATGAACACTTCCCCATCTTGCCCTCGGCCGTAGCATATCGTCATTGTTCACAGAACACACATCCCCATCTTGCCCCTAATCTGACTAAACCCTATGGCACCGCCAAAGCAACTGCGGATCTCTCCAATTAAGCACCATCACACGGTTATGCATGAGCATGAAACTCAGCCTGGCCTACGAGCATGAGCATTGCCTTTGTTCCGGAAGGCTGAGCACACTCAATCTCAACATCCATCACTTCCAATTCGTCAACCATGTGCCGTAACCTCCATGTAGTTTATGGAGAGGGCCTCCGGGACTTGAACGAGGAGACCACTGTTCAACCATTGGGATAGAGAGACACACGCAGAGACTCCCGTCCTCATGCTCAAGGATCAAAGGGGTTGTCCAGGGGCTGCAGTGCCCAAATGCACCCGTCTCCGTCTGTTCCTGGCTCCGATCCAAGCAACAAGTCGCTCGAATAGGAACCGTTCAACCGCTCAGGTGCCGGATGGGAAGAAGGCAGTGCTGTTTCTGGCCCCATCCTGCAATCCCCCATTTCCCAGCCCAGTCTTCAGTCGTAGCACCATCCAGAAGTCGTCTTGGAGAACCAAATCCCTGTTGGCGGATAGCATGGCCTTCGAAGAGGCCGGCATCAAACCCGGCTTCGCTTTGCCTTGCCTGCCATGCCCTCCGGTGACCTCTCCTCCTTTAGCCTCCATCCACCCATCCCATATCCACATCTGCGCCCACCACCGCACCACGGCCATCCATCAGCCAGTCCACAGGCCCCCATGCCTAGTGCGAGTGCTGTCCACATCCACATCCATGGCCATGCCACGGGTCCGCTGTACCTAGTCCGTGCAGCACGGCCTTGCACTTGCACCTCCTGCCTGGATCCACCCCGTCTCCGTCCCTCATCCCCGTTCGGTCCTCTCTCTGCGTCTGTTCAGTCAGTCACTCAGTCTGTCAGTCTCCCACCCCTCCCCTCCAGGCAAGTCGCCTTCTCAGGTGAGGGTGAGGGTGAGGGTGAAGACTAGGAACCTCACACCCAACCATCCCCAGTGATAGGAGTCGTCGTTCTTGTATATAGACTCTTCCTCTTCCCGCCCATGTTTACTGTTTCGATTCTCATCCTCATCGAACATTCTTTCCTACTTTCGTTCTATCAAACAACAGTCCATTCGCTTTCTGAGTGTAAAGTCATTCGCTTCTTTACTCTCAACTTAATACCAACTTAGTTTTTTGTTTCCTCTACTTTCACTAGAACAAAGTATCTCTCACTCTCACTTCAAGAAAAGAATCCTCGTCCATCATTCAAAATGAAGAACAGCGTTGCTCTTCTGGCTCTTGCCGCCGGCGTCAGCCAGGTCACTGCTACCGTAAGTCTTCCTACAACAGCAACAACCCCATAGCCAGATCTCACATGAGATCTCGCCTACTTCTCTCTAGTCGGTGATCACTAACAAGCTTCACAGGGCTGGAACAAGTTCCCTTCCTTCACCTGCCCCGAGAACACCGACAACAAGTGTGACGACAAGCAGAAGGATGGCTTCTCCTGGGGTGACTTGAACACTGGATCGTTCAGCAACTATGGCGGCTTCGACTTCAAGGGCTGGACCTGCGGAAGCGATTTCTCCAAGCGCGATCTTCTCGCTCCCCGCACCTTCGGCAAGGGCAAGGTCATTGAGGGCTCTTGCGGAAGCACCAAGGAGACCTCTCCCTCCTTCGGCTGTGGCTCCGGCACCAGCTCCCCCGACAAGTTCTCCATTGTCCACTTTGACGTCTCCGTCGAGTTCGACTGCGACCTCGAGTTCCACTACGACATGCCCGATGGCTCCAGCTGCAAGCACCGCTCTGCCTGCTCCAAGTCTGGAACCACTGTCAAGAACTCCCAGTGCGGTGGTGCCAAGAACGTCACCATTGTCTACCCTGAGCAGCCCTCCAAGCCCAAGACCACCTGCGGTGTTGGCATCCACACCATCAGCTTCGACTGCAGCCCTCCCCAGACCACCGTCCCTCCCAAGACCAAGACCAGCTCTTTCGCCATCGCCACCACCTTGAGCACCAAGACTCACGACAAGCCCGTCAAGACCACCTCCGAGGCCGAGGCCACCTCCACCGCCGTTGTTCCCTCCGTCTCCAAGCCCACCAAACCCGTTGAGGAGACCACCGAGGCCACCAAGCCTGCCACCACCGGCCCCTCCAAGGAGACCGAGACTGCTCCCGTTCCCAGCAAGGGCGAGACCACCTCCGCTGCCCTCCCCTCCATCTCCATCCCCGCGGATTCGACCACTGCTGTTGTTCCTTCCGTCACCAAGCCCGCCGAGACCCCCATTGTCTCCAAGCCTACTGAGGAGACCAGCAAGCCTGTCGAGTCTGTCACCAAGCCCGTCGGCGGTGAGACCACCTCGGCTGCCCTCCCCAGCGCCTCCGTTCCTACCGTTCCCGGCAATGGCACCCAGCCCGCTGAGACCGTCCCCGCGACCGTCCCTGCCACCGTTCCCGCTGTTCCCGAGACCAAGACCACTGTCTACGACACCACCTCCACCGTCTACACCACCCGCGTTGAGACCGTCACTTCTTGCGCTCCTGAGGTCACCAACTGCCCCGCCAAGTCCCACGCCGTTGTCACCGTCACCGTCCCCGTCTCTACCACCATCTGCCCCGTCACCGAGACCTTCGTCCACACTCCCGGTGTTCCCTCCAAGCCTGCTGCCACCCAGCCCGCCGGTGTTCCTTCCCAGGGTGTCTCCTCCCAGAAGCCTGTCGCCTCGGTCACTGTTCCCGCTGGCCCCGTTGAGACTCTTCCCTGCCCCGATGTCGTTCCCCAGTGCTTGAGCACCTGGATGTTCTCTTCCGGCTGCACTGACAACTCTGATGTCAACTGCTTCTGCCCCGACTCCAAGTTCGTCGAGAACGTCTTCTCTTGCATCTACTCCTACGGTGCCAGCGACGAGATCATCTCCAAGGCTACCCAGTTCTTCCAGGGCATCTGCGCTGCTCACATCCCTGAGAACCCTGCCATCGTCACTGTCCCTGCCACCATCACCACCGCCATCACCGTCTCGGCCACCAAGCCCGCTGCCACCAACCCTGCCGAGTACACCACCGTCACCGTTGATAAGACCATCGTTGTCCCCTGTGTCACCTCTGGCACCACCGTTCCCGGCTCCTCCACCACCGCCATCATCAAGACCACCCTCGAGGTTCCCCACGTCTCCTTCGCCACCAACTCCGCTTCGGTCGTCGTTCCCGTCCCGGCTCCCTCTGCCCCCGCCGGAACCCCCGTTGCCCCCGGTGCGACTGCCTCTTCCCAGGCTCCGGTTGCTCCCTACCCTACCACCCCCGCCGCTGGCGCCAGCAAGACCACTCCTGTCGGCACTGGCGGTGCTGCCGTCCCTACCACCACTGGCGTCGTTGTCGCCGGTGCTGGCAAGACCACCTTCGGCCTCGGTGCCGTTGTTGCCATTGCTGCCCTCGCTGCCTTCTAAGCTGGGTAACATGGCTGCTTTCTCCCCTCCCCTCTACTAAGATGAAACTTACTTGAGCGCGGAGGAGAGATGCTACCCCCCAAAATTTCCTTACTGTATCCAAGTCGCTGCATGCACACACAAATCTGTAATCTACAAGCCCGCAATTTTACATATCATTCTTACGATCCTTACGAAACAAACACATTGCATAGGTGGTTTTTTATAGGTCTGGAAACATTCGGTGTTAAAAAGGACTCTATATTCCCACATTTATCTCAACCTGGCCGCGAACTTTTAGAGCGCATCAGAAAAAAAGGGTGTTGGAAGATTTTTTTTATACCCCTTGGCTTGTTGGATTAATACTTAATTAGCTAGTTCCTTTCGAGAGGAATAGAAATGCGCTCTACAATGACTTCTTTAGTTCCTCTTGCCTTGTGATGTGTTCCAATCCTCTGAGTACTCAAGTGACATTTGTAATAATTCTGTTAGGTTCAAGCTTGGTCGTGCTGACTGCTTTGAGTGAGTACGAGCCTGCTGCTGCTACTGTCAAGGTCGCAATGAGTCATGTGATGTTGTAGTTGAGACGACCTCGGAAATGAGCTGTTGTAATGCGAACAATTCCTCTTTATCTCATGACTGGTATGACATAAGGTAGATAGGGGGAGCAAAAAAGTTCATTCTCATCTTCGCATGGCTCTCCGTGTTGAATCGATGCTCACTTACCAACTTGATAAAGTCCATCTGAAGTACGTATGCCCATAATGATGTTGTGCATTGGCCCGTTGATTGAGTGTTCACGGGCTCGCCGGGGGGGCATGGACCATGAAATGCCCTCCCCTCCTTCCCCCTTACCCTCTCGTCACAAAGGACGGAAACCATGGTCATCCGTCTGAGGGGTTTCGACTACCATAGTGGAATAGGCTCGCCTCGTCTAGCCTAGGGTCCGTTTTTTAGGTATTGCCTGGGGATGGGATATACACTGACGCCAGATCGTTGCAAGTTTGTGTATTCCCATTAGACTGCTGTAGAGTTGGCGATGAGGGCGATTCTGAAATGCCATTTCTCTGACCATGATGGACTCCGTTTGGGAATTGAACAAGGCGGAGTGTTTCTGCGGAAGAGTTCTTGCTGTGCTTGAGGCTCAGTTCGGGGCTTGGGGACTTGGATCTCCCTTTTGGAGAGCCTAGCTCAACTGCGAATGACACAATTTGTTGAGAGGTGGCCGGTTTTGACGTAAGTCACATTCGTGTATGAACCATTTGGGCAAAGAATGGCTGATTTGGGCTGTCTTGTTCAGCTTCTTCGCGAGCTTTCTCGTCTGTAGCCAAGTTGCGTTGGTGGGCGTCTTGGCGATGAGCTTCTCGGCGTCTTCTTTGAAAACTACAATGAACTTATCTTCATCATTAATGGAATGCTTCAAAGTGGAATATACAATCGCCCGAGTCAGGCACCCAGCCATATCGAATAACAAGTGCCTATAACCAGGAGTGGTCACCTAGCGCAGCTATCATCACCGTACATCCACCCATTTTGGAGACATGTGCTTCAGAGAGAGCACCAGTTGAGGAGTCGGGAACACTTGCATATCCATTATCATGAAGTCGGTGTTCCCGTAATCTGACAGCCGCTTGAGATTGAGCGAGCTTTCTTCACTCCAGTCGATCATGTCACTTAAAGTTATCGACTTGATGGCCGGAGCGTCTTCTTTAGGCTCAAGGCCTTCGATTCCGTTCAATAGTTGAGGATCACCGAGATTCTTACTTTCGCCATTCACTTGAGAGCCATCATATCTCAGGAGTATTTGATTTCTCCAATCAAAATGCTCATGATTTTGATGGAAGATAAGTATGAATCAGAATGTCTGAGCTACGAGATGAAGTGTGATGAATGACACAATGTAGAAGCCGCCGTGGAGGAATAAAAGTCGTCGTTATAGCTTCTTCTAACCTTTGAAGAGCCGATGTGTGAAATCACAGTAAATATCTAGCTCTTACTTGCAGCAGAGCTGAAGTGATCTGTGCTGCAATGTTCATCCGCCGTTCGTTCGTCGGCTCCGGCCCGAGAAGTACGGCAATGTCCCCACTTTTGCGGTGCCTCGGTCCCGGCTTCGGAGACGACTTTGCACATGCCTCGGAGTCATTCCCCTCAGCCCGTCCAACAAGAACGCCCGTCAAAAGGTTATGTGGTCGACTTGTTCCCATTTTGCCTGATACTTCAACAAGGCCAATATGGTCACTTTGCATTGTGCTTGATAAAGCATAGAGCGTCATGTTGCGAAACGATGCGTTTTCTTGTCGTAGCCTTCCATTTTCCTGGTCGTTTCCATGTGTAATCAATCCGACCGACCACCGAGGCCCCGAAATAGCTCCAAGTTGAATCGCCTCAATACCGAAAACGAGGAGACCCGGACGTGGTTGCCGGCGGACGGGGTGGGACCCTCGCCGAAACCCGGCGCCGGAGCCTTCGGAGAGCAGTCAATCAGTAATCCGTTTTTGAAATTTGGAGTCTGGTTTGATACTTGATCGTGTGATATTGTTATAATGGCTTTTGTAAGTTCAGTTGACACCAAGCCATCTGATGATGCCGCGACGCCGGTGAGGCTTTTGCAAGCCAGCTCATGCCGGCGGGATCGGTGTCTCAGGGAAGGGGGGTTGTGTATCCACTGTGGCTCCACGCCGAGTCATCAGAAATCAGTGAATGAGTGAGATACGGCGTGGCTTTTTTGTGCGCTTCAACAGAGGATGTGGTCTTGGTGAAGTTTCTGGCGGAGGAGATGGTTCATCTTATCGACTCGCATTGGCAGTGATGCCTGGGATTTCTTATCCTGCGCCCCCCCAGAGTGATTCAGGGGCCATATACTGAGACACGGCGTCACTTATGTCCTTCTCTCAATACACACCGGAGGTTAAAGCGTCCAAGTAAGGCACAATGTGAAGATTGTCGCAGGTGTCAGCCAGTCCGCAAATATCGGAGTTCTCATAACCTTAGTTTTGCACTTTTTCACGCAATGAATATGGCTTCAAGACGGGCTTGTTGACACAAGAATCTAATAATTCATTGAGGCTAGACATCTCGCTCTCTATATGTCCAAGTAAAGTCTCCTCATAATCTTACAGTTTAGTCGCTTGCTATGCAATCTCTAATGCTCATACTGTTCCCGCTCACTTATCCTACACTTATTCAATCGCTGATATCACTGTGGATCTAGTTCGTAGCGCAAGCAGTGTACTTCTGGGCAGCATCCAGAGAGCTATGGAGTAATTAGTACCATTCTCCTTACATCGTACTCCGTGACTCTGACTTACCAAGCCGTGATGCACGCGGCATCCTTGTTGCACTTGTCAATGCAGGCAACCTGGTCGGCTGCTGTCTGTGTCTCACAGGCGGCAATGGCACCGGGGTCCTTTCTGGCCTCGAGAGTTGAGTCCATGGGAGATGTGGGTGCGGCGGCGACCATGGTGGCAGCGAAGATGGCGAAGATGGTGGAGAACTGCATGTTGGCGATTGAAGGTGGTAAATGTGATGAGTTTGATGTGTTGTATAATGTGATTTCTGTGACAGTTTCTGCTTGACTCTTTTTCTCAAGTTATAGTGCTTCGTTGCTAGTTTGAAGGCTGGCTGATATTGATGTGTGGATTGTGTCTTTGTTGGAAGTTGTAATTGTTTGGTTGTTGTGTGGTTGTTTGATACTGAATGGGAACAGGAATCGTAGAGGAGGCGGGAATTCTCCTCACCTATATAGATTTTCGCAAACCTCTCATGACCCAACATCCTTCACCTGCCTTACCGCGATCGACACCCTTCTGGGAGAACGCTGGACTCGCAACCCTGCCTCTACAGGACGCATAGTCCATGCCCAGACCACCGCAGGGCTCAGCCGAATGCGTATGTGAGTGTGTGTGCCGGACGTCACTTCACGGGAGACAGGGATATCTGACAGCAATGACAACCGCAATGATGTAATTCCCCGACCTCCCTCTCCCTCTTTCTCGCCCTCACTTCAAAGCTTCAAGATCGTAGTGGGGACCAACCGATTGCCTTCAGCTCTCCGTATTCGGGTCCAGCTACGGTCGTCCGGGGTCTTCCCTTGGAAGGTCTCCCGATTTGCGTGCCGCCGACTCCGCAGGGTCCGGATCAATGACCTGCGGTTCCCTCCTACGTAGTAGTAAGCGAATACCTTCTCGCGATCGGCTTCCGCATTAGGCAAGTAGAGGGAAGTTTGTTGGGTGTAAATCCATACAGGCGCTGTCCGGCAGTCCGTGCATAGCCCGCCGATTACCTACGGCTATTCATGCAAAGGCAGGAAACATCAGACGACACAACTTGCGGCTGGCACCTCGGCATATCTTTCTTACTGCGGGTCGCTTCTGTGACGTCGCGTAGGCTGGTTGAGTTATACTTGAGACGAAAACGAGAAAAAAACGGCCGACTACAGGAACTCAAGCAGGCTCCAGAACCCAAGTCGTCGGGCTTTACTTCCTTTGGCCATGGTGGAGAACCACGCAAACCACTGCCTCGGGACAAGCCTTCTCGTGCGAACAGCTGAAAGTGGGAATTTCCCGACTTGAGTGGTTTCCCTATCCTGGGTTAGGTGACGTTGGGCAGAGTGAAAGACACCGTTCAGACGAGTTTGTTCTGTTGTTGCGGCTTCTAGACCGGACCCCGTTGCGAACGGCTACGTCGTGAGGCTTACGGTGGCGGAGCGGTGACGTTTCTGTGAACTCTGTAAGGAGGGCTGGCTTGGTGCCGAGCTATGTTTGTTGTCTTGGGCCGAGGAGTGCGGAATCTGGACCGGCGCCGATGTAGTATTGGTCGTGATGGCTATGATAGCATAGATCCGCGGCTACGAAGCGGTGTTGTAGACTCTAAAGGTACTCTATTCCGAAAAGTTCCAGTACACTAGGGCAGTACTTCTTGTTCTGACTGACCTTCTCATCATAACCCATTACATCGGCAATCACCAAGAATGAATGATGTTCAGCTACTCAATCCCAAACTCTGGGAATGCAGATCAGACCATACGCCGTCTTTACAGCCCCTTGGCCTATACTAAGTTAAGTAATCACCTGTAAAGAAAGCCTCACTAGCGGTTTCCAGAAGTGACTACGAGCAGTGGAGCGTACAGTAGGGTTAGCCTTCCGATCCAGAGAAAATTACGCATAACGAATAAAGTTACCGGGGACGATTCCCGAGTCTTCCACGGCCCATATACGTTTCAATGCGCACCCCGGCCACGTCCCCTCCTCCGAGGTGCCGAGAATTTGTGGACCGCATCCGTTGAGTCCGGGGTACATGTGATTGTCCGCTTCGTCCGGGGTCCATGTGCCCAAAGGTAACCCGGCGGTGCGGAGGACGGGATGACGGGGATGATGGGGATGACGTATAGCCATAATGTGTAGGACGAAGGGTGGCTTGACGTATCTGGTGTGACGACAACCACAACTTCAGAGAAAATTCGAATAGAGCCGGGTGAATTGGTCAATCTGAAGACTTATTGCAACAAGCGTTAGCCAAGTGATGACACGGCAATGTTGAAGAATCTGAAGCGGGCTGTATGGTCAAGAAGAAAGCCCATGATCGTAAGTCAAAATCTTGATGGGACTTGAACTGACATACCACTGAGCTAGGTGACCAGAGACCTACAGACCCGGGTTGAGCCACTGCCTCCGGCTGCATGAAAGCTCCAGAGTTGATGAGATAAGCTAGAGAAACCCTCGTTGCTTGTTTGATACCTCTCACACGAATAAAAAATAAGAAGACAATTCTTTGGTTGAAATGTTTGTAGTGTTTGCTGACAAGCCAGGGCCGATCCGTCTCGACAGGCCAGCCGAGCTATGACTGATAACATTAAACTGGTAAGTATGTAGTAAAAAATATAATGGTATGTGCCAATTAAGTGGTCACCAAGTTGGCGTGATGTCTTTCAATCTCGCCTCCCCCACTAAATTCGCAAATGCTCTGCCATCAAGCGTCGTAAATGCCAGAATATACCGCGCCGCCTGCCCGCACAACGCCCGAAAACAGGGATATTCAACTTCGGCTACCTTCGCTCCTTTTTATGAATGTAATGTTTTTTTTTTTTTCTTTGCTTATTGGCTAGTCGCGTCCTGATTCGCGTCCAGAGTCGGAAGCGTAGTCGTCGACGAGGCTTTGCATCTCAACGTCGTGTATCCTGCGATTCTGGATGCGCTTCTCCATGGGCTCTGCTTGTTCAAGAGAACCACGACGACCCCAGTTGCGAGGTTGGCGCTTGAGGAAGGCACCGACGGAGCCCAGGTAGCCCTCGTGACGGAGGAAGTAGGCCTGCTTCTTGCCTTGAGACCAGAACTTGATGGCGTAGCTGAGGGTATTGATCGTTTGTCTATGCCCACGAATAAAGGATCCTCCAAAGTAGATGTGGTCCAGGTTGTGGATTTGCGATTGGAGAAAGGCGATCTGGCCAATGTTGTTGGATATCGCATATAGCAGCGAACGCGAGACATCTGCCCCAGAGAAGGGCTCTTCTGAGGAGTGCTCTGCTGCTCCCTGAGGGCCATCTTCAGCTGAGGCTTCCGGTGGCGGAGATGTGTTCTTGTTATCGCCATTGTGTAGTCCACCGTGGTCTTCCGCTTCATTCTCGGCTGTGCGCTTCATGCGGAAGACCTTGCCAAACGACGATGCAATTGTGGTGCTCTTGAGGCCAATTTTGCCATAATCTCCCCCGTAGATGTCGCCGACAAGCATGTCGACTTTGGCATTATCCCCCCGCTCTGACAGGTCGAGCATCTCATCAAAAGTGCGAGCGCCTGTCAGGAGGGAGAGCAGGCCCCAAAGCGTACCACCGCCGAGCGAGGTTCCGCCTACACGTTGGTATTGACGGGGTCCCGAGACCTTTAGCATCGAGACGCCGGAACCTATGTTGACGAGGAGGTAGGGGTAAATGTTTTCTGAAGGTGAGACAAAGTGCATGGGGTCGGTTTCGCTGTACGTGAAGACTTCGCGGGGTATCTCGGTAATGAAGAAGTCGAGGCCTTGGAGGTAAGTTAGCAACCGTCGAGCATGCGCCGAGGGGTTTGCGAGAACTTACCAATTATCAAACATTCCATCTCTTCCTCGCGCAACACATCTACGCCCAGGACATCCCGCATCTTGTCGTAGAACTTGAAAGCGCCGCCTCCCGTCGCCATAACGCTCAATTCGTTCGGTTGAGAGCCATTGAGGGTCTGCTGCTTGTCCTTAAGGTGGCGCATGAACTCAATGCAGTCGTCGATGCGATCGGTCTCGAAATTGAGAAAGTTGAGACGACCGCCGGGCTCGGTGGAGTGCGCCTCGCGCGTAAAGTAGACGAGCTTGATCAAGGAGCCGCCAATCTGCGCAAACGAGGGGATTAGCAACTAGACTAGAAGAGGAAGCAGGTAAGGGCAGGAGGGAGTCGCATACGTCAACGGCGATATGGCTCACGACAGCATGGTGGTTAGGCAGGCGAATATCGCTCGTCTCGTGGTGGGTCGGGGAACCTCGGCCATTGCTCCTCGGAGAACTCGAGTCCGGATCGACGATGAATGCGCCCTTGACATTGATGCGGACGGAGCCCGGCCGGATTATGGTGTTGTCGATTTCCTCGGTGCTCGTCATTGTCCGGGCTCTGGTGCGGATATCGGCGCCGGCCAAGACTACAGGCTCGGAGGGGTTGTGTTCGCCGTCGATGGTGTTGTTGAGGGTGTTGGCGTTGTCTTCGGGTCGGGAATCATCTATGGCAGAGCCTCCATGATCAGGCGCGGGGCACATGCTCGGTCTTTATTTGAAAGTGTGTGCGGTCGTCCGGCGCGCGGAGGGTCAGACGGAAGGAGAGAGGTCGGGTGGCTTGGGACGGCGCAAGTCATGAACTTGGGGACGGTCCAAGAGCTATGTTCGTAGCCGTTCGCGAGGAGCACGGAGGACGGGCTGGGGAGGTTGCGTCGGATGGTGTTGCGGTCATTCGGTGCTGGGCTGGTGTCGGCGCAGGGTTCGCCTTGCGCTGGGCGTCAGTTCGCTTCGGAGTTGAAGGAGGGGGGGAAAGAAGCTTGGCGGAGGGCAGAGAGAGGAGTGTTTGTCGAGGGCTTTGGGATTGTGGAACGCACTCGACGAATTTCAGTTGAACGTGACTAGGACCCTGGGCCGATAAAGCTGCAAGGCAAGTGATACCTCACAATTTATTAGTACCTCAAGTTACCCCCCTCCTTTTCTTCCCCCTTCAGCGACAAAATGCGCGCGCGACCCCCGCGTCGTAATTCCGGACGGTTCGTTATCGATAAGCGGCAGGTCAGATGTACTATTTCCTATCTGGGCAAGTGCCTAGGCACTTTCTGGGGATTCGGCTAACGGAGCTAGGACCTAGGTACTTGCTTTAGGGACTTTACCAAGGTCCCTTCCCCTACTAAAATACCCGTCAACCTCTCAAGGTTGGGAAGTTCCATCTCGTAGTTCAGTGGAGGTGGATTGTTGAGGTCCCCAGTGCCGCTGGACCGAGGCTTTCGGGGTACCTCAAGGTAGGTAATCAATCGCCAATGAAGCCCATCCCCTCATCATCGTGTAGCCATACTTCCTTTTCTCCGCAAGATTTCGGAAATGGACATGGACGTCGTCATTCGTGCGACGTTACCTCAAGCTTCTTCGGCAGCCATGCAGAAGACCTTGTCAACCAATCCGGCAGCCGACCCGATTGCGCCGCCGGCCGTCGGTGGCTGTCGTTGTGTTCTGGGTAAGCCAATCGACTGCGGCCAACTGTAATCCTGAGATTGCAGTAGGTTCGATCAATAGCGAGCCTCGAGCTGCATCACATCATTGGAATGCGCTACTCTCAACGGCCTTTTCTTTGCATGTGACGCCAGTGCAGCTCAATCGCCATAGCTCAAAGGTCGAGAAAGAAGCTCACATAAGTCTCACTGTCAGCAACCATCTCAAATTCGGTCCTGGGCCCGAGCCATGGGATGCCGCCACACCATTTGACCAGCTGTGCGATTACTATCCAGATGAACACCAGCTCAGGTAATCCACCGGAAAGGATTTGTCCTAGCGCCGACATTGTAGATAGCCGCCCACAGCGCACAGGACTTGGTTCGTCAGGGTGTAATCTTCGAGGTACTAAGGTAGGTAGCTACTAACTTATTCCACTCAGTGTAAGCATGCAAGGAAACAGCGCTTGTATAAGCTACCAATGCTCTGTTTCTGTCTGTCTCCCCATCAGTGACCTTTGCAATATGATGGCGGGAAAGATTCCCCTCGGGTTTTGGTGCCAACGAGCGATCCCGAGCTATCGGCCAGCCGGTGTGACCCACAAAAACACGGCGTTCTTTGACATCGGGCCCGGTGACCGCCGGTTCATTCAAGAGAAGACGAACAGCAGTCCATGTCGACAAAGGACTCAGTAGCACACGAAACACCTCTTGATTGAATGTGTGCTCAACAGATGATCATACTCTGCTGAGCGCCACCCAGCCTAAAGATATTGTTCCTGGACAGCTGCTTGGAAACCTATTCCGACTGGGGCAAGTAGTCTTGGCACTCTGCCGAGTCCGAGAGCAAAGATGAAGCAGCCTCTTTACTTCTCGACTCTTAAAATACGTTCATCTATCCTATAAAAAAGTGACTGGAATATATCCGTTCAAAATGAGACGGTCAGTCTTATTATGCGTTGCACAAGAACTATCACCAATCTCTAGCTCATTCGAGAAACGTCTTCATCAAAAGTAGCCCAAAGAATTCAGAAGAATGGACCATAGACATTACGATCCTCAAAATTTTGGCCGCCTCCCGCCTTACACACTACCGCAGGCTGGCTGTCCCCCTCCGCCTTGTCCGCATGCCTATCTTCCTCAGCCTGCTCATCCGCATCAGTCTTTCCATCCGCAACAGTCTTTCCATCCGCAACAGTCTTTCCATCCGCAACAGTCTTTCCATCCGCAACAGTCTTTCCATCCGCAGCAGTCTTTCTCATCCGCAACAATTTTCCGAGTCTTATCCTCCCGATATGGTGTGTTCTATCTGCTTCATACCTAATGATATGTCGTAATAACCTGCAATGCATCACCAAAACCAGGCACCTAGAATGTTTTTCAAACCTCCCAGACTTGCAGTTCGCGAATCATCGGAAGTTTCACCGTCACCTCTAGATATTAGCCGCAGACAGGAAGAGACTTATGTCAATGCAGAAACTTTACAGCCAACCCGCTCGTCCTCCCAATTTGTCTCAGAGGATCAGAAACACCATGTCAAGGGTGCCACCAAGAAAGCTTCCGAAAAAAAGAGAAGAAAATATTCTCCCTCAGGGAATCCATCTGAGGGCTCGATTGAGTATGAATCGGGGCCGGATGAGATACTTCGAAAGCACGAGGAAAAAATACGGCAAAGTGGAAGAGGCAGAACAATGTAGCTTAATGATCCATCGTACTACCTACACTACTTAATAATCTTAACAGTAGCCTGATAAGCATCTACAGCAGGGGAATTCGGAAGGTTCTCCGAAGACACTTAAGCCTATGAATTCGCGAGAGCTGGAAGCTTTGCTTGATGCTAGCATTGAGATTCATATCAGCCACCTATTCACGTGCACTAGAGACTCTTCTATGGGTGACCTTACTTGATTGTCGTCAGGTTCGTTGGTTACTTGATGTGTCACTGTTCTACTATATCGAAACCAACGTTGGTGGCAGTGGCGGGACGGCCGTTGAACCCATAAAATCGCGGCACCCTTCGGGCCCGATGACTCCCGATTCAAAAACAGGCGAACAAGAGCCGAAAAAGACAAAGAGTCCCGAAACACCCGCATCTTTCCACTGCAGGTATAGTCATCATACGACAAATATCGCTAAGCGCCTCCCCGGGAAAAGATGTTGTCTCTAAATAGCGGGCGGGTTATAGAGATCTGCTTTCTTTCGCACTCTTCTTGGTGTTCACATGGCCAAGATAGAACAGCCCCTTTATCTCTCGACTCCCAGAGTTCAACTACTCCCTATGTAAATAAATATGAAGTCGTTGGCTAGAATATCAAAAATCGACGATCATACGACCAGCTTTGCCTACGCAAAAACCATTGCCAACCTCCAGCCCATCCAAGAAACATCTTCATCGAGGGTAACGCAAAGGGTGTCCGAGAATGGATCCTCAACCTTCCGATCCTTACGCTGCTTACCACGGCTATCCTGCGCAACGCGGAATCCAAGAAACTTTCACTGGCTTTCCTCCGCCCCTGCAACCTCCTGGCTCAAGACCCATGAAAGACCACCTCAATGTCTAGGAACCTGCCCCCCACCTTACGACGATAGAGATCATCTCCAACCTGACTATCCTTCTTTAACTTATCTCCAACACCAGAATACTTGGGCTATATACCAACTCCAACCTGAGAGTCCTGAAATGCACTCCCGATTTCAGGGTCTTGGGGCATACGATCAATATCGACCTCAGCCATCTGCACATGAACCTCGTCTCAGATACCCACGGTTACTTGGAGCACTGGATAACGCAGAGAGAACGTCCCTTGATGGAACGGAAACAAGTTCCTTGGATGCAAGCGAATCAGAGACAGATGCATCAGAGGCAAGCAATCTGGAAGCCAGCGATTCGGAGGCAAGCGATTCAGAGTCAGGCGAGTCGGAATCAGGTGCTTCAACGTCAAGCAGTTCAGAGTCAAGCGTCTTATATCCAGCCCACAAAGTTAATAGAAGATCCCAGCCGCGCCACGTAACCTATTATGGAACCAGGGCTGGCCGGAATCCCCGATATGACTGAGCGCGAAGTTATGTACTGGGGAAGATTGGAGGGCTACTCAAATGCACTGTAACTAGACTCTTGGTAACCTACAAATCCGCGGAAAGCGTGGAATATTGCTTGATGTCTACTTGAAAACTGACTATTCATGCACTCGCCATGTTCCCATTCTCGGTGCTGACGATATTTCTTAGTAGACATGGTTGCTGAACACATCACGATCAGGAAGTATCCGTCGTGAAGGTGAATCAAAGATTTGAAAACAGGGATAGCAGAACATAAACAAATACAATTACATCTCATATGAAGCTCGACGGCAAGAAGCATTCTAGCGTCAAAAGATAGGTTCGACAGATGCTGTGCAACAAGTCTACTTCAATGGCCTGACTCAATTAGTCCAGCTACAGTCATTATTCCACGCAGCATGGCTTCAGCTGGCAGATGTCTCTCTGTGATGATGCCTGATATTCGAGCTGCACGAGTTCCCAGGGATGCCCCCAAACGCGAACAGCGGCCTTTGCCAGGCGCCTCTTTCTCCTGCCCCCTTGACAATGTTCAGGTGTCAAAGGCAGAACAGCCTCCTTTAACTCCTTCTATCAACTGAAATCTAAAATTGAATAACAACAACACTCCACAATTTGTATTTCGAATATAGTTTGGAGAGTCCCGTCAAAATCGCTGCATGTATCATCGCCAATCGCCAACTCACTCAAGAAACCACCTTCATAAAAAACAGTCCTAAGAACGGCTCGCTACTGCCAGCATCACAACCCCCCGTGCGTGCTTTCGCCAATTCACGGCGGGTGTGCCGACCGTTCTCCACCAAAATATCACCAGCGCCGGAATATTCGCCGCCATAGCTCGGGGTATATAATCAAAGATTGTATGCCGGACAGCAAAGAACCTAGACTCGCGAATCTCCCCTTGACTCGATCTTCGGCCGACGTGCTAGCGATTGAGCCCGTCTACCTGGTAAACGAGGCCAGCCAGATGCGCAGACATCGGAACCTTGTGAATTTTGGCGAAGACGTCAGCTGGAGCTCTCAGAATCAACTCGAGTATCGAGAACGGGAGTCAGAGAATACCGAAGGAAGCGCGCCTTTTAAAAGACTTACACAGCAAAACTTACAGGCCCTGGACCTTAATAGAGTATCTCAGGCCAGTAGAGGGGAGCGATCTATAAAAGGAGAAGAAAAAGCCCTATCGGATTCACACGAAGGGCAATCCAAAGTCTCTCCTGAAAAGAGTGGAAAAAGGCGTCGTAGCGAAGAGAAACCGCTATCAAAGTTACGTGACGAGTACATTCCTGCTGAGGAGGATGAAGGAAAGCATGCTGAAGTAAAAACCTACAACGCATACGTTGAGGACGTTACAGATTCAGATGCCAAATAAGATCCATCACCTACAATCATCAAGGTATATAAGAGACGTGAGGATCAGTCCATGTCTCGGGGAAAGTATGTCAATAGTCTTGCTATTTCGAAGCCAAAAGTAGAGCCCGTGTATAGACACCTTCAGGAAGGTTAGGAGTCTGTCAAAATAGACCATGGTGCTCCGAGGCGTCGAAAGAGACGCAAAGATAAATGGGAACATAGCTACGCATCGTGGGGTATCAGGAATCTATGAAGTGATCTCAGTCCGAGAGTTCTGGTGTTCTCGACCGTATCTGCGAACGCATCTTGATGAGGCACATTACTCAACTCTTCCGAACGCCGAGCAGACTCCAACGCCAAATAATCAACAAGAACGTCATTCAAAGTACCAGCCTCACGGTCCAACATCCGCCCAACCGCCAACAAACTCCCTTTCCATTCACAAAGCCCGCCTCAACCTAGCCACAGGCCCAGCCTTATCAGGATTCTCCCGATGAAACTCTAACACCCACGAATCGCAGCCTTGCAGGTCCCTCGCCGGCTGCCACGTCGGTTCGGCGTACTCCCACTCAACGAGATACTGCAGCCCTGTCCGCGGCGTCTTCCCGGACCCGGACCACCGCGAGTCCAGAATCGAGCGGAACGCCCAGCGCTCCTCGTCGGGCTTCGCGTTGTCGTGGTACTTGACCACGACGCGGCCTTGCTTTTCGGGTTCCGGCTGAGTGATTTCTGTCACGACTACAGCTTCGTGTCTTGTGTGGCGGTCTGAAGAGGGCGACGACGGTACGGATACAGATTCCGGATTCAGCAGCTGGATCGCGTTAGTTTGTCTGAGCCAGGGGTCGAAGAGGATGGACCAATCGAACCAGATCTCGGGGGTGAGTCTACTCTGCGGAGATGGAGTCTCAGACTCACATACACCGAAGCGCTTAGAGGAGAGAAAGGAAGGTAAAGAAGACACACCGGCCCGCGACCACGAGGCATCAACAGTCGGCGCCTTCACCCACGCGTTGCAAAAGAGGCCAACGACGCCTATGAAGACCTGGATCGTCGAGCGGCGGGATCCGAACGCCCAGCGGTTCCAGCCCTCAAACTGGGCGCAGAGTTTGATGAGGCAGAGGATCAGGGCTCTATCTGCGAACTGTGGGCCGGGGCTGGTGACCTGGGTGAGGTACATACGTCGGTCTGGAGGATTCGTGTTGGAGACGATGTCGTCTACTCTGTCTAGGATCGCGACTTCGTCTAGCTGCGGTGAGGATTGCGCGTCAGGGTGCTCTAGTTCGATGAGGAGGGTACGCACAACGGCGCGGACGGGCGGGAAGCGCATGAAGTTATGGAGGGCGTTGATGGGGATGTCGAACCTTCTAGCCAGGTTGGCCAAGTCAGTGTGTACCGCTACATTTGGTGTGATGGATGGGCGGCGTGGATGGATAGACTGAAAGTGGTAGTCGCTGGGCCAGGTTGATCTGGTTCTCTTACATGGTTGAGCAAAGTTGACTTCAAGGATTGTGGCGTCAACCTCTGGCTCGTCGTAAGTCCACCCTGGCAGGATGTGTCGCTCTTCTAAAGCCGAGTTCATGAGCCGGGTGAAGTGCTCGTCTGTGCCATTATTGAAGGTGCTCTTGGTGTTGCTGTTGTGCCCAGAGACCAGCTTGGAAACAATGGTACTACGCAAACCCATTCTGGCAGAGGTATTGTGATATATGCTGGGTGTAGTGTGAGGGTATTCGACAGGTATGCGACAGAGATAAATGATACAAAGGTATAGTGATATTGTACAATACGAATGTTTGATTTGAAGTGAAGAAAGTCTATGGTCTACAGAACCAAACTTTTCTCCCCACGAGGGCTCTCCTCGAACATATAGTCTAAATCACCATTGGAAGGCATCGAGGTATGTTGACGATCAAAGAAAGACACGGCACTATGTGTTCTGCTGTGCCACTCGCCTTTCACCTAGGTCAAAGATGCCACCGCAAATTTGGCATTTGCGTACAATGGACAGCTAAATACGTTGACATGACTACAAAGATCTTGTCTTCAACGGTTCGTCATTCAAGCTTTGCGCTCTTGAGACACGGGTCCGTTGTCGAATGACTTTGTTGCTCTGGTCCTACCAGACGAAGACAAGCCATTGTTTTGCTGATTGCACTGCCTACTTTGAGCAACCCAGACCTTTCCCATACGTCTCATTTGATGATGGAACTCGAATTCGCAGAGAGAGGCTGAGTTAGCGAGCGAGATATTGCCAAGCTAGGAAATAGCAGTGCGCTCTGTAGGAAGATTTCGCAACTTCCTCCACACAGGTCGTCACATCATAGAGGATGAGACGTTGACACCAAGTGAATATGGCAGTGAGATGCGTAATTTCGAAATTTCGGGTCACAGATCCGGGTGACTAGCCCAGAAGCGAGTGTGCCAAGACCGGGTTGATAGTGGCACAGCTTGTCTTCTCAAACACAGCATGCGGCAGCCCTGCAGTAGACGGAATTCGGTCTTGTCAAACGGGGAAACGCGGCTTCTCGACGACAACGACGATGAGCGGGTCCAAGCTCCTGACATTACCATGTGTTGTCCAACTTTGTAGGGCGTGACACATGACATCGTGCTGGCGCTCATTGAAGTAGATTCGCGTTGGGTTGGGTATGAGGCTCTACTGTAGACTGAAGTGGATAATACGTGACAGGTGACAGACAGAACAGTCTCAGTGAGGTGCTCACATGGACGTGCGGGGTGTACCTCTCGCGGCCACAGATAGCATGGAGCGATCATGAAGGGGAAAGAAAACGCTAAGGATGGGTTGCTGTGCTCTGGACTGCATGTCTGGGATTCCTCCCGCAATAGGCGCCGAGTAGAAACAGGCACGTCCAATAAGGGGCGGTGCCTGGACAAGCCGCAAGCACCTCGACCTAGCCCTGTGACTGACAGCACTGGCCAACGATATCATACTTATCAGATGAATTATGGGCAGCTTGGAGGCGCAGTAGCAGATCGAGAAAGGAAGAAACAAGCGCGACCCAATGCCACTTCGGTTCTTGGCCAGGTGAGTGCGGCAGCAGGGGCAGATATTGCGTGTCTTTGAGAGATGGCTAAAACAATCACTGCCCAACGTTGGGTGGCCATGGAACTCTCGAGACCCTGGAAAAAATTCAAGATCAAAGCTCGACAGACTTTTTCTTCTCTCATCGGGCCCAGCGGACGGGTAAGATGCGGTCAAGATGCAAGGAAAATGTCTGCTGTAGGTGTTCTCGACTCGTGCGGGATGGGTCAAACAGACAAGGGGAGAGCCTGCAGACGTTGGTTGGTCTCTTTACCATGGGGGAAGACTGCATCCAATTAGAAAAGAATCAGAAGCCGGAGCTTAGACTGCCATATCCCCACAAGCTAGGCGATGTCGCCATGTATGTTCCGCAACCGATGAGTGACAGAGAGTTGTGTTTTTAGTTAAAGGAAGCTCAGGACGGGCTGAACCCGACAGTCGGGAAGGTATGGTGATGGTGCCACTCGTGCTCAGGACGTTGGGTACGACTCGACCAGACTGAAAACGCCCAACTAACTGATTGCATCGAATGCCGAGTGTCGAGTGTCGAGTCTGATCAGGTCTGTACGACATCGGGGGCGTTGGTCGCTTTGCTCCGTTGCAGCATGCGTTGCGTGCGCTGGGCCCTGGCTATGTTGCGCAGTACCTTGACTAGGCAGGGAATACTTCTCCCACGGGGCGTCGGCGGACTTGGCCATTGGACCATCGGTACGGGGTAGAGAACTAGAACATGTCGTAGATGGATTGCTCGATGAAAGGAAGTCGGTCAGCAACGTTCAGGGGACATTGGGTTTTTGTCCTGGCTAAGAGATGAGGTCAGCTTTCGGGTCTGTGTATCCATTTGTTCTGCTCCGTTCAGACCTGACTGGAGGCACTTGAGATAGAGTAAAGAGTCCCCACTGACTTTCCCGATGGCTAGTGACGATATGATGGCATGCGTCAGCGAGAGAGCCAGGTGTGATTGGTTCTGCCGGAACCTCTCAGTAAGGCAAGCCGGTGTGGTGGACTTGGAGCGGAGGTCTTGATGGAAATTCTCACAGGGTACGGAGCATCGCGCGCCAGTTCTTGGCCATAAAGGTGAGGAAAAGTGTCTTAGCTAATGGAAACGGCAGGGGCTACGAGTGAAGAGGGGAGACTGCGATCTGAGCTCCTTATCGATAAAGGTAGGTTGGACAGTTATTATCTTATCTTGCCTCTGAGGTACCTTCCAGCTGGCTTTCATGGAATGGAAATGCTTGAATGCGCCCAGAACGGGCATGGAAGACGAACCCAATCAGTTGTAGAATGTATCGATGGCAGCCAGGCACATGAAAGGCTGCAATTTTTTTTTTTTTTTTTTTGAGTCGATATGACTGCATGCGATGAAAGCTTCATTACTGGCTGTTTGACGGATGCCTTCGTGTTCGTTGGCGATTTGATTCACTCGCAACTGGTACCTTAGTTTGTAAGGTCTTGCTTCCATGATACAGAGGCGATGTTTCCGTCGAGGTACCTTACATAACGTGTACTTCGTACTGGTGCTTAGAGGAAGGGAAGAAGAGCAATATCATGCTGATCTACGGGCTGAGATGGCATCTTCATCTCATGTCCTTCAGACAAACTGGAGGCTAAGTACCTTCATCAGCAAGTGAGGTGTTGTTGCTCTGGGCTGCTAGAGATTTATCAACCTGATTAAGATGATTTAACTGTTCTTCATCTATTGTTTTCTCTCTCAGTCGCTTTCCCCTCCCGCACCCCGGTTCCGAATTCCATGTTCCACCCCCACCATCTGCCGTCACCAATTGCGGTCGGCGACTCGGTCGCATCAGCTGCTTGTCGCATTCAAGTTCTCTCCCGCCGTGTTGCGCCCAACAACCCCATCAATGACGTCCTCAGCTCCTTGTAGTGCGGATTCGGGCCAAGGTACCTTGCTTCACCTCACCTTTGCGCTGTTCGACGTGTGTGTATCCGTACAGAGAGATAGAGGGGGAGAGCGGCCCTGATGGATTCAATCAATTCCTTACCTTCATTGCCGCAACTCTCGACCTTCGACTCGAACTGAGACGCCACTTCTCTGATTGCCCTGCTCTATTCCCCGCCATCCACCCATCCATCCATCCCATTGCCTTGTGCATCCCATCACCCCCCATCCCATCCCATCCTGCCCCCCTCTGCACCCGCATCACCTCGACCTCGCCGTGTCTTGCGCCTTCTTCCCGGTTCTTACCTACCTTAGCAGCCACCTTCCTGCGTTGGCTCACCCTCAGCAATACCTTGTCTCCCCCAATCAGAGCTTCGTGCCTTGCCTTGCAGATACCTCACCATCACCCTAATCCCGCCAACCTCCTCTACCTCTATCTAACACGACAGATACCTAATTACCACCCTTTACATGAACGCCAGCCGCCAGCGTCACCCCGACTACCGAACCTCGTCATCTTCCGGTCGCTCCCCATATCATCCAAGCTCAGACCACGCCTACCCGTACCTAAAGACTTCGTATCGCGATCCATCTTGTTCGACTCATCCCCAGCTGTTCGTTTTCTCTCGACACTGCACGCCGTCCACATACACCGCAGGGAATAATCCAAAATCCCACTCCATATTTCTACCAATCGCCCGCGCTCCTGCTTCACCCGCTCGCGCCTTCCGTCTTGGCCACCTGGTTGCAACAACACCACTGCCCTCCGAATTTCATTCAGCTCGATTCACCAACACAACCACAAACAATAACAGCAGCGAGATTACCTTAGCTTTCCTCGCGAGGACGCAATCGCCTGATCACATCGTACCCAAGAGACATAAGCCATAATCAAACACTCCACCTGGCTTCCGAGAACACCACAATCACAATCACGACAACCGTCGACGTTAGGATATCGCGCAAGTCTAAGGGTTCCCAACCACAAACGACCCCGTCGCATCCCATCTCAACACAGCGCAACACATCTGATGAATCGCTGTCGCAGACCCGCGTGCTGCTAGTAACTGGACGCACCTTAGATCCAGTTACACACTTCCTCTTTGCTCCTCCGTGGAGCCTGTCGCCACGCTCCTGGTCGCCATCGCACATCGACGCTGCCGCTGCGCCCCTCTCGCAAAATCCCGCTCGTCATTTTTGGTCTTCACTCCCCCGCCTCGACCTCTCCGGCTCGTGTCTCTGGACTTTTTTCTCTCACCCCACCAAACTACTGCCCAAGACCGGCAGCCCGACTTGTCCGACTGTCATCTTCTCGCGGGAACTACTTGCATCGGCTGTCAAGTTGTCTGATATCATACCAATCGAGGCGCGAGGCCAGCCATCACAGACGGGAATAGCGGATTGACACTGCGCACAGCTGCTTCAAGTCGTTGCACTGCAATCAGACACCCGAGCTTAGTCTGCTCATCACAGGACGAAGCATCACCAATCCAAGGCCGTCACAGCGGCGCGCACCGCCGCCCTCGAACTGCCAGTCTGGACCCTCGAGCTCGACTTGTTCCCCCCAACTTGTCCCCCACACTACCCGACCCGGACGACACCTCGCATTCCAGCTTGCACATTCCACACAGCCTATCATGAACGGCACTCAACAGACCCAAGACGCTGTCGCACAAGAGCCATTGCAGTCAGCAGCCGCCAATGTCAATGCTGCTGCCAACGCCAATGGTTCGTCGACGGCGGCTAAGAAGCGTAAGAAGGAGAGCCTGAAGCCCATTATTACCACCGAGACACCACCGTAAGTTTGACCAAGAACGTTTTCCTTTTTGTTTTTTCTCTTTTTCTTTTCTTGTCTTTTGCTTTGCTCTGCCCTGCGCTCTTCATGCCGCATTGTTATTTTATTTCCGTTACCTTTGATGGCGGGGAAGTTGCAAATTGCTGGTTTTCATTACCTCAATTTTATTGCCATTTAGCGCCCCAAGCTTCATTTACACAGGACATTATCACCCTTTCAACATCCTCCACCATCCACACTATTACCCCTCTATCCTGTCTTAAAAGCGCCGCGCCCGGTGCCGCACGTTCTTCCCTGCGCTCTATCCGTATGGCGGGGCGAAGTACGGGGGGCCAAGCAACACAGACCAGGCGAGTTTGAGCCTGTCAAGTCCGACAGGCCCTGTCCAAGTCCAATTCAGTCCAGTCCAGTCCAGTCCGGTTCAGTTCAGTCCAGTTCCAGTTCAGTTCGGCCCAGTCCGAGTTGGCACACGGCACAGCGAAAGCAGAGGGCAGTGTCCAGTCAGTGTGCCCAGCACCGCGCCGCGCAGTTTGTCTCACACCCGGGCATCTGGAAATATGCAGAGCAACGGACCGCCTTCGAGAGATGCTGCGACAGCGCTGTCAAAGACGTGGAAGAAGAGTACGATGAGACGACAGACAACGAATAGATGCTCAGGGGATCCATCCAGTGGGACCAACGCTGATACCCGACGACATGGTGGCTCTGGATTGGATGTTACCGTTGCCGTTGCACAGGGAAGCCATTGGCCGAACCCAAGATGGACGTTTGTTTGGCGCGCTGAACGTCAGCCAGAAAGAATGGACGGCTCCTCCACACCGCAGATATTACGGGTCGCCAGCTGTCGCCACCACCGCCCGGTAGCTCAGCAGCAGCAGCATCACCACAACCCTAGAAGCGCAGCAAGCACTTGGAAGTCGGCGGTGCATGTTGTTGATTTGCCTCGTACTGCGCTCCGCCTGTGCGACGGCGGATACCGGGACGTTTTGGAGGAGAGATGGCCAAGAGCGCGCTTCATGCTGCGCAAAGCATCATACTTGGTTATGGTGGTGGTGGTGGCCTGTTGGCATACTAGGTGCGCCGACCGGCGCGGGAACGTTTCTGGCGCCACCACTTTGACGAGCGAGACATTCTCGTCACCGTCATCGGTCATCGTCAACAGCACTAACTGGACTCAACTGAACTGGACTGGTTTGGCCTGGTTTGCATTGGACAGACACGCTTGATTGCGAATATTCACTGTTGGAGACTAGAGGTCGGCATACCAAGCTGGGTATCATCCTCACATGGTGGTCTGAGAACGGTATCACGAATCCTCAACTCGCTCACCCAACACCCTAACCACCAAGTTGTGGCTTTGGGGTAGGTGCAGGCGCGGCAAAGGTATCCTCCCAGTGCCCAGGATGCTTGCTTGATTCTGGCACTGGCAGGTTGTTGCTGCTGCTGACGCGACCGCGAATACAACCTGAACCCGACGGGAGGACGATCTGCTCTGGCTTTGAGGTGGGCAGTCCCCGCTGACCCTCACCGTCCACCCTGACCCTGAGGTGACGCTACCCGACCCTGGCCCAAGTGGCCCAGGCCTGGGATTCTTATTGCGTCGCCAGACCACCTTCTGACCCCCCGTTCCTGGCCTGCTGTTCCCGCCCGTTCTCCTCACTCACATCACCGACCCCTCCTCTCCTCTCATTACCTGCTTTTTTCTTGCTACCTTACCGACTGGGGGGTGCCCTTTCTGTGCCTTATCCGTCCAGAGTGTCCCGCTTCCAGTGCCTTTTAGTTGGGGATACCGGAGACAGAGAGAGAGAGAGAGAGAGAGAGAGTGTGTGAGAAAGAGAGAGGAACACAGAACACACAAGAAACGAGCAGCAGCAGCACCAACGGCACGCACGCATTGTATCTTTCCTACGTACCTGCCTTACGGATACCTGCCTCTAAAAAAAAACCTTCTTTGCTCACTACACCTACCTTATCGGCCTTAACCACGCTGGCCTGCTGTTCTTATTTTTTATTTGCCTTTTTCTGCTGGCTGAACACATCCCGCGCCTCACCCGCCGCCTCGCCTCGCCTCGACCGCTTTCCACCTACCATCCTTTCCCTCCCATCCATCTTCCCTTTTCAACCTTTTCTTTATCCACCCTAGTCGGCCTTCGACTGGACTTGCCGCTGTCACTTCAATCTACCTTTTCACTTTCCCATGTTGTGAACGGCACCAGTTTCGCACTGGATCTTGTCCTGGCCATCATTTCTGCCAATTTTCCCTTTTTTTCCGCTTGTTGTTTCCATCTTTCCCATCGCTCGGTCCTCGGCTTGTTCGATCCTCTTTTTTCGATCCATTCCTTTCTTTGCTATAGGACTGTTCGCGCCGGATGCGCAATGTTGCAAACATGAGCTTCCTAAAGACAAGGTTTCTGCTCTTCCTTCTCCTTCCGTTGTCGCATTCCGTGGCCCGTCTGGCGGCTGCGAAATCTTTGCCCACCGACCTGCTATTCTCCACCCCCGCCATTTCAATCACAGACACGACGCCGCTTCTTGCCAATTTGCGCGCCATGACCTGAACCACTGCTACACAGACTGGCACTTGCGACATTGAAGCTAACTCCTTTTCCTCTGACAGAACCCATCAATTGTCCGCTGCTATGCAGAACTCGCCGACTTCGACATCATCCGGCGAAGACCCCGCCGAGAACACAGCCGACGAGGAGGATTCCGAGGATTACTGCAAGGGCGGCTACCACCCCGTCCAGATTGGCGAAAAGTTCAAGGACGGAAAGTACACCATCGTGCGCAAGCTTGGATGGGGCCATTTCTCCACCGTCTGGCTTTCTAGAGACAACAACTCTGGCAAGCATGTCGCCTTGAAGGTTGTTCGCTCTGCCGCGCACTACACCGAGACCGCCATCGACGAAATCAAGCTCCTCAACAAGATTGTCCAGGCCAAGCCAGACCACCCCGGCCGCAAGCATGTGGTCAGCTTGCTCGACTCCTTTGAACACAAAGGTCCCAACGGCACACACGTCTGCATGGTGTTTGAAGTCTTGGGCGAGAACCTCTTGGGTCTCATTAAGAAATGGAATCACCGAGGTATCCCTACGGCTTTGGTCAAGCAGATCACGAAGCAAGTACTGCTCGGCCTCGACTACCTACACCGCGAATGTGGCATTATTCACACCGATTTGAAGCCCGAGAACGTCCTCATCGAAATTGGCGACGTCGAACAGATTGTTAAGAAGGTCGTTAAGAGCGAACCTGGCGACAAAGAGAACAACAGAAACGGTCGCAGGAGGAGACGCACTCTCATCACAGGCAGCCAGCCGCTACCGTCTCCTCTGAATGCCAGCTTCAACCACAACAACCTCTTCCCTAGCACCAACTCCAGTCTCAGCCAAGTGCTACACGAAGGTACGCTCCCTCCTCTCACCACTGCCACTCCGCACACCGCGATTTGCGCCACTTCGTCCAAAACGGGCCTGTCGCCCCACGAACTCTTCTACCCCCTTCACGTTCTGCTTAGCGACCGTATGCTGACTCCTGCTGCGATTTTAGATGGCAAGACATCTAGCAACGCTTCCCCGAAGCGCGACGCTGATCAAAAGACGCGCGAAAAGACAGCGTGAGCATTACCCCACCTGGCCAAATAGTGGAAGAGGTTCACCTGATACTGACCGCTCTTTCTCTCCATAGTGATCTCCTCACAAAGGAAGTTTCCGGCATTTCACTCGACAAGACCAACTCACCATCTTCAGGGGATAAGCGCAAGGCGGATGATGCGCATGCATTCGATGTTATCAGCGTCAAGATTGCGGATTTGGGCAACGCCTGTTGGGTCAACCACCACTTTACCAATGATATCCAGACCCGGCAGTATCGGTCGCCTGAGGTCATCCTGGGCGCGAAATGGGGCGCCAGTACCGATGTTTGGAGTATGGCAGCAATGGTAAGCATGACCTACTCAGTGCTATACCCATCTGGGTCGTAGCAGGTACTCTTGATCTTTTCCATCTAACGATAAACTTTCAGGTTTTCGAACTCATCACAGGAGATTACCTCTTCGACCCTCAATCCGGAACCAAGTATGGAAAGGACGACGATCACATTGCACAGATTATCGAGCTTTTGGGGCCGTTCCCCAAGTCACTTTGCCTGTCTGGCAAGTGGTCCCAAGAGATTTTCAACCGAAAAGGCGAACTGCGAAATATTCACCGCTTGCGCCACTGGGCTCTGACAGACGTCCTCCGTGAGAAATATCATTTCAAAGAGGAGGAGGGAAAGCGCATTGCCGATTTCCTCACGCCCATGCTTGAGCTGGTACCTGAGAAGCGTGCCAATGCTGGAGGTATGGCTGGGCATGTGTGGCTCGACGACACGCCGGGAATGAAGGGTGTCCGAATCAATGGGCTCGAGGTTGGCAGTCGAGGCGAGGGCATCGATGGCTGGGCGACTGAGGTGCGGAAACGGTAGGGAGAGTCAGAAACGATGACCGCTTTGAATGCAGGGGTGCCACCAAAGATATTAACGTAATTTATTTGAACGGTCACAGGCTCCCACTCCCCCTGCATTGCATCATCCGCATTTCTGCATCTTTGTCGCCAGCGTTGTTGTACCCTGACTTTGGCTTGATGTTCGCAACCTTTTTATAGCACAATGCGCGAGGTTCCGCTCCTTGCAAGTGCCTATCACAGAAGCGCTTTGTTCGCTGCTATACACTCGAAAACTACAACTTGACGAAAGTACTACGAATGACAGCGGGGAAGGAGAGGATGATGATCGAGGGAGGAGGTAACGAAGGAAGGAAAGGTGAGGAAAGCAGAGGAAACGGAAGGCAAGGGGATGCATATGAGGGATTGAGAAAGCCGAGCCACAAGTGGTGAAGCATAAACAGAGTTTGACAGTCTCTGTCGGACACAATGAATAGAATCTAGGAGAACAGGAAAGGATGGAACAAATGGGAAGCGCTTACCCTACGACGAACATACATGATTTGTGTGCCGTGAACCATTGACGCTCTCTTTAACAAGTAGTTTGTGCATGAGACTCATGCCTGTGCTTTGTATGTGCTATCTTGATGATGGATGGACTTTGATGGGGCATGAGATGGAGAGAGACATACGTTCAATGAAAGGAGATAATGCGATGTTCATAGGCAGTTAGTTGTGTGGGCATTCCTTTCCCTCATCTTGCTTGGATGCGCTGAACCCCAAGTACCTGAATGAACTTCAATAGGAGCCCCGCCTCACGCTTCTGGAGAGATGTCTACTTTCGTGCAGGGCGTGAATAGAAATACCTAGTGGTGTCTCAAAATGCCAGAATTGGAAAAAAAAAAAAAAATACGGCCTCTTCACTCGGTTCCTTGAAATGTTTGCATTCTTCTTGTCTTGATTCCTAAAAATCCCTTGCTTGTCACAGCCCTCGTCCCCGGAACGCCAGTTTGATGCTCAAATAATACAAGTGTTGAGCTTCTCTTTTTCATCAAGCCCAGTGAAGGAAAATCATCGCCCCTCTCCCGGGGCCCATGTTGGCTAATCTCCAGCGTATCCCGACAGCCACCATGCCCTCTTTCTTGCCTTACCGCTTCTTACGGTTCTGCGTCATCTTTCGGAACGCCTCTAAACCACCAGCACCGATGGGACGATGCTCAGGCGCCCGTGAGACATCGTAGGTGCTCTTGGGCGCGATAGTGTAGCTGTCGGGGAGACCGCCGGGACGGGCACGGTTCGAGGTGGCGACGGGTGCGAGCATAGCCTCGCGCTCCAATTCTCTGGCGGATTGGGACGGGCGCTGCGTGAGGGTGAATTGGGAACTTCCAGCCTGGCGCTGGGACATCTTGAGAGCTCTGGAGTGACATTGTTAGCATTGTACGTAGACGGCGATTCATGATTTTGACGTACTCATAGTCGAACTCGCGCGTCTCAACGTGGCGCTTCTTGTAGTCGTCAGTTCGCTTAAGAATCGGTCGGCTCCAGTCACCCAGGAGACGCTCGGCCATGCGCTTGATGCTGGGTTCAGGTCTCTTGGAGCGGGTGTAAAAGTAGACAACCTTTCCGATGCCACTGCTCAGCAAAGTCTCCTTCTCGATGGGTAGTCTGATGAGAGTAGTGAAAATATCGCGCTGGATGTTGTATGCCGGAAGACTGCCGTCGTTCAAAGGTTCAAGGAAGAACTTGACGTGCTGAAGGAAGTTGGTATCGGGATCGAGGATGGCGTGCTGGATGTTGTTCCTGTTCAGTAGACCGGTCACTGATGGTAAGAGCTTCAGCTTGTGAACGGCTGGCTGGCCAGCCTCGCGCGCCGTGTTGTCAGCTTCGCAAGCCTTCTCCATGGCAACCTTGAGATCGGCAATCTCCTCATCGATTTCGTCCTCGAGGTCCTGCATTGTCCACCGTTAGCTAGCACTCCCAAGACCGCAAATAACGCGATGCCACCTACAATCTCGTCCTTCTTCTTCTTGCGCTTGACCGGTCCCTTCATGGCCGCGTCCAACGCCCGATCAATCGCTCTCCGTCTGCGCTCCTCGGGGCTGAGATGGGACTCATCGTCGATCTCAGGCTCGGCAGGCTTGCTGGGCCGCGGCTTCCTCTCGCCGGCATCGGCTTGGCGTCTAGACTTTCTGGCCGGGCCTCTCGAATCGATATCCATATCGCCAGAGACTTCGTCATCGCGTGATCTCTTCTCTCGGCGTCCTTCCTTGGGCTTCTTCGCTTTTGCGCCATCGGCAATCTTGCGCTTCGACGCCTTGAGCGTCTTGGCCACATCTTCGTCAACAGCTACTGGGCGATCCTCAATATTTGCCGTCTCTGGGTCGTAGTCCTCGAACTGATCCTCGTCGATTTCTGAGAGCAAGTCGTCGTCGGAGACGTTGGCGGCATCCTCGCGGTCGGGCGCCGGGGACTCGGGGAGAGATTCGATATCCGACATTGTGGCTGATGCAGATGCGCGCACGCGATGTTGAAGTATTTGAAGCGCGACTCTGGGGGTTGATGAGTGAGAATTAGGTTCCAGTTGAATCAATGAAATGGATGGTGTAAAAAGAGCCGCCTTGCCTCGCCGTCGTCGCCCTTCGATTTTCCGATGGCCCAAGCTCAAGTCGTAAAGGAAATGGGAAGGTGCCACCAGCCACAGGATACCCAAATAGTGGATCACCGTCTTCGCTCAGCTGTGGCTAGTGCACGAAAATAGTCTTGGCTCATGTCGGTACGTACTCCACCAAGTTCCAAAGAGCCAAGATCGAAGCCACCGGGAGGTTCCGTTGCCTGAGGCACGGTTTGTTTACTTTGATTTCTAGAACTGTGGTTTGTTCTTGACAGCAGCTACCTTGGAATATTTCGACCCTTGGCCGCCACCCCCGGACCGATCGCGACGAGAGCTGCTAGGCACTTCCCACCCACATCACCACTTCACTTTGTCTCCCCAGATTGTCGCATGCAAAGAAGTTCACAATGGATCGCCGAACCTACGAAAGTCCCATGGAATGGGAATATCAGGACCGAGGTCCCCTAGATGCGACCAGTCCATTTTCCCAAGTTGCGAGAAGTAGCAATCAGAACAGTGAGCTCACACCCCAGTCACGATATCACAACCATCGTCATAGGTCATCCGCTGGCCTCTATTTCGAGATTGTTTACTGACTTTCCCTCCTTTACTCAGTCTTCAACTCGCCCAACAAATTTGCCACAAGCTCCAAGCCGAACCCATTCTCTAGCCCATCCAAGCCGAACCTCTTTGCGAACACCCCATCTAAGCCGCTTCCAGCTTTACCACAGACGTCTCTCTTCTCGCCTCGAATACAAAGTAGCAACACCGCGCCGCCATTCCGAAACCCTGCCTTCACTACCCCGCGCAAACCGTTCGACGAGAGTGCCTTTTCGGAAGCTTCAGGCGCAGAGACCAGCCCCGCCTTGACGGAAAATTCGGAATTTCCAGACGACACACCCGACGTCGATCGATTCGGCGACATGAACATGGGTACCATCACTCCGTCCAAGGTCAACAAGAACCTTCGCTACGGTAAGGCTGGCCTCCAGTCATTGAAGCGCCATGTGCCCGGCAAGGGCGAGATCCCCCGAAGTGGACGAGACTACCCCGCTATAAGGAAGCGGAAGCGACACAACATGGACAGGGACGTCGGCAGCGTCCGGTTCCACGGATCACAGGATTGGGATGAGTCGGAGGAGGACTCAGACGACAGTGGATCTCGCCCGGCAGGTGCGCGTGGTGGCAAGGGCAGCAGAAAGACGAAGAAAAACCGCAGCTGGATCAGCAATCTCTTCCACACATTGGAGGAACACCCAAATGCGCCCGAGAATCTCTACCGCTGGATTCAACTTCTGATCAATTGCGCCATTGTATCGGGCTTTGTGTTCGTCTGTTGGACCATGTTCGATTCTGTGAGGTCGGATATTCGAAACGCCAACGATGCAGCTCGGTTGGACATCGAGAACAGGATCACTCAGTGCCGGACGGAATACACTCTGAATGAGTGCATCAAAAAGGACCGTCCTGCTCTGAAGGCCATGTGCGATGAGTGGGCCGAGTGTATGATTCAGGACTCATCGGCCATCATGAGAGTTCGGGTCACGGTTAAGCAAATCGCCGAAATTCTCAACGAATTTGCTGGTGCCATGCAGATGAAGGCTTGGGTAAGCAAAACCTTCTACTGATATCTTGTGGTAACCCAGCTAACAGTAACAGCTCTTCTTCTTTGGCGTGGTTTTCCTCAGCATCATTGCCAATAACCTTGCTCTGGGTCGCATGGCGAATAATGCCGGCCCATCCCGCCCTACGCCATCACATCGCGCTTCGTCTGGCATGGCTCCTGAGCCATCAGTGATACCGGAACCCTCTCAGGCGTACATGTGGGTTCCCGTCCAGACACCATCTCACCGCCGACACCTGCAGTATGACAACGATGACACCGATACCGACGGTGCATCGCCGCCAAAGATGAAGGCGATCATGCCGCCTCAGACTCCGTCAGGACGCCGTAGCCCAAGCAAGGGTGATCGCGACCGCCTGCGAAGCCCCACGAAATACGGACGAGGCCTGAGCCCCGTCAAGGGTTACTAAGACAGCAGAAGTAGGCTTACAAGGAGGCTCTCAAGAATAGTTACTGTCCTGCAGAGGAGTGAGCGCAAACAGCAAAACAGGGGTACACAATGCATGGGATTGGAGTTGCAAGGTTTAATTGTATAAAGTACATATTCAGGAACAAGGTTTTGGGGGCCAGATGCGGCGTCATCTGGAGGCTCGGGACGAGATGGGGTGGGCTTCGGCTACTGCTTCCACTGGCGATCAGGATACGTTGTTTTGCAGACACACAGAGACTCGCGGGAACTTCATCCTTGCGACTGCTCACAATGCTAAAAAGTTCATTTGTCAATATCCTTCATTGTATGACCGCAAAGACCGTATTTACTTCCTACACCGAGCCCAGCTTACCGTTCGGTATGGTATCTGAGCAAGAAATCCGTATGAAGCAGGTTAGGACTTGCTCTTATCGATAATCGGGCTAGGCCCAGTTCGATTTTATGACGTCAAAGAAACGGCCTTTGGCGGAGCGATGCCCTGTCAAAATTTGTCCCCACTTCCAACAGACAGGACCATTCGAATTGGGGATCCCTGAATCGCGGCATCGCATTCTTTTCCAGTGCTGGAGCGGAGGAAACCCGAACTTTTGAGGCTGAACTGCTGAAGCCTCATAAGAATCCGCAAGGCATCTGTCCACGGCAGATCTCAACATGACCATAACTGATTGTCCGGTGGCTACCTGTGTCATATACCACATCCTCAAATAGAGCGCATCCAGCCCACGCGACGGAGTACATTCCGTCTCCCTTGAGCTGGCGGCTTACTCGGGAGGATGTGCTACCCCGAAGCATCACCTACCTGTTGGACCCCCAAAAGCTGCCCTGTTTTCGGCAGAGACACTCGCTTCCGATCAAGTTGGGGAAGTTAGAATCTGTCTCGGAGAAGAGGGGTTGGGGAACAAACACCGTGGAATGTTCCGCGACGATAGAGCGCGTGGGCGAATGAACGAGCTAAGCGTTGGTCGCACAAGCCACGATGTCGCGAGCTTTCGCGCACGGCATAGGTGGGATGCTTAGCGTGGCTTGAATCTTTCTTCCGGAAGTGTAGTGTATTCCCGTCTCTTCGAAACGCCTCACCATGGCGCATGTTCGGGCTGGGAGTTGGGTCTCGTTCAACCGTTCAGCCCATGTGTGCCCGGGACCCGGGTTTGCCAGGCAAGGAGCTCCATGCCATCTCGTCCTCATTGTTTTCTCTTTTCACGCGTGGATATATGTCTACATGAGGCCCCGGAGCAAAACTCTACAACACCAAAGGCCTCGTTGTCTATTGGCGCGGGGGCAGCAAAAACCTAATTCTCTTCACACTTCAGACTGCTCCAGTCGGAAGAATCCATCCATTCACAACTAGCCTCGGGACGCCTAGGTAATCACGATGAGAGATGTCCCAGGACAGGACACCGTCGTATCAGAGCTCCAACTTGGCAACCACCTCAGGTACCTCTGCTCTAGTGGGCAAGGGAAACCCCTGACGCAGTGAGGGTCGCCGACCAGGGTTTTTGCCAGAACGCGTTATGCTCGATGCCCCATAATCGCAGTTCAGCATCGCCAGAGTGGACTACGGCGGAGGAAAAGTTCCAGCCCGGTCTGAGATCGTGATATCTGTCTCGAGAAACCCCTCGAGGAACCCTCGTGCTTCAAAGCCTGAAGTTGTCAAGGCTTGAGGTACCCGAAGCATCACAAGCTCACTTTGAAGTAGGTCCTCAAGCGATGAGATGATCTCTGAGTTGGGGGAATCTGGCTTCCAGAAGGGTCGACTGCCGGGCTCAGAAGCAGCCAAATCAGGATGACTTACGGCTCTCTCCTGGTAGCGGCAGCAAGCTAATGTGCGTTGGCTTGTTAGATCGCCAGTTGAGGTAAGGTACACATAGAAAACGGAGGAGGTATACGGGCACCTTATCCATAATACGGTAGCCACAAGTGCCTTGAGGCTTGAACTGAGAACATGCGAAAAATACGCTTTGCTGGCGCTCGGACTTGTCGACGGGCAGATTTCTAACTGATGGGATTGGGAAGCTACACAGAGAAAGTGGAGATAGTTACCGCTAACGAGTGACGTAGTGCCGCTTATCTGAAAAGAACCATCGCAACTCGTTTGGCTTTGTTCCTCTTGAGATGAAATATTTTCGGGCAGTGAAGGGTATCGGGGTCTTAGTATACAGTGATAAAAATGAAAAGAAGCAAGAGGGCCAAATCATGGATGCTTACTTATTTAGGGCGGTAAGGTAGATTGGCTGCATAAAGCTCAATTCGCACCCTTACCAATCGAAGCTGCGCGTATCTTACCTTACTTGCTTACCTCAATGCGTGTGCCTTCCTTACCTTTGTCACCGCTAGCCAGTCATTTCCAAGAGTACAGAAAGAAAGCTAGGTACTTGATTCAGCTGAGAAGAAGTCAGTCTCAACTTCTTTCAGGTTTGCCTGAGGCGTCCCAGCCCTGCCTTGGAAGCAAAAAAGTTTCACCTACCCCTCGCGCCTCAGACGGGAGTACCGTACAATTTCAGGTAGCTGGACCTTGCGCGGCTGGAAGCTCGGGAATCTGGGGAAGGAGCTGCCCTGTCACGTATCCGTACCTCCTCCTTCCCAAGGAGTCAGGACCAAGGCCAAGGTAGGTAAGGAAGGTACCTCACCTAACGTTCCGCGCTTCCTTCCCTTCCAAGTTCCCTCACCCTGTATTCGTAAGATACCTCCTCCGTAAGGAATACCTGCCTTAATTACGGGATTGCATCTTGTGTGTCTGTGCTTCATCTACCGTCTTTTCCTCCTTCCGTCGCCTCGTCCGTCTTCTCTGACTGGGGACCCGACCTGGCCGCTCGCTGCACACTGCCATCCCTTCCCGCCTTTCCCACCACCTGTTTCTCTTTATCACGGGCTGCCCAATTTTTACGCTCCCTGCTTCATATTCTCTCCAGTCATTCACCACCAGCGCCATTTCCCACGGGCCCAATGACATCCTAACGGTTGGCGCGCAAGAATTCCCAAGTGCCACATACACTTGCTCCACAGGATAATTGCATATCCAATTGTACACCGAGCGCATGGTTCGATAGCAAGTGCCTTTACCAAAGAGGGGCAGTTCTCGCTGTCAACCTGCCGTCCTCTCGTCTCTTGACACCGCTCGCTTGTTCGCCGCTCGACGACAACGAGAACACCGACGGCTAGCCAAGGCCAATTCACCTGCTGTGCAATCCGGCCTTTCGTGGTAACCTCCCGCGATCTGTCCGATTCTTACGCGCGACGCCTGTCCTGCGCGCGCCTCCTCCTCAGCTCTCTACCTCGCGCGAACCATCTAGACACTCGACGCAGCTACTGGGTGGCACTTCCCCTAGGCCATACCTGTCCGAAAGTTTCTGATCTTTTCTCGGATCCATGACGACCAGCTCCCGCCTTTGAACGGCCTCATTATGTCAATTCACAAACAAAGTCCTAAAAGTCGAGTTCGCCCTGTAGACTCGGCACGAGCCTACAACCCGTCAACCTGAAGCGCTCAATTCCTGCCGATATGGAGGAGGCACCCGATAGCCAACAGCAGCCACAACCCGCCGCCGGCTCTGCTTCCTCCGCGGGGGCACCACCTGCAACCGCTTCCTCTTCAACCTCCGCTCCTCCCAATGCGCCTACGCCGTCAAGCAGCTCCAGTGCTGCTAATCTGCAAAAGAGGAAGAGGGGCCTAGGAGTGGTCACGCCCAATGCCTGTACCGAGTGTCGCAAAAAGCGAGCAAAAGTAAGCCAGCACCAGATGGTGCCCCAGCGTCCGCCTATGCTTTTCTTTGCGCTGACAGTTTCTCGAATAGTGCGACGGGCAAATACCTTGCGGTCGGTGCAAGGCTCAGAAGGACGTAGAATGTGTCTACGAGGTCCCAGTCCGCCAATCCAAGGAGAATCTCCGAACCGAGCTCGAGAATTTGCGCCAACGCCAGAAAAGTAGCGATCAGGTCATAGCCGCCCTCGTTCGCCCCGACATGTGGGAGGATGTGTTGCAACGATTACGCAATGGGCAATCGCTTGAATCAGTCTCGGACTGGATAGGTGGTGCTGGTGCTGGTGGTGCGAGAACTTCCTTTGCACGCCCAAACGAACAGTCCAGCGATGCGAGCGCAGGCCCAGGGACGCGGCCAGGGGGTTTTCCGGCGCCCATCAGAACCAGGAACCTAGGAGATCATGGCTCCGTAGCCATGAGTCCGATCACTGGGCAGTCTGGCTTGCGCCAGGAAATTGATCCGAACAGCCCTTGGCACCCTTCATCACACAGCCAGAGCACCCGAAGTAACTCTCATCCCGACGCAATGAACTGGAGCGCAGACACCAATAGGCCGCCACAGGGACTGTTCGACACCTGGGCTGAGTCGGCGAGTAACACGGAAGCCTCCGAAGGCGGCTCGAAGCATCAAGGCGCCGACCAGGTGCTAGCCCCGCTAGAATTGCCTGATATGAAGCTGCCCCCGGAAGAATGGACGAACATCACGGAGGACGGTTCGTTGGTGCAACATCTGCTGGCACTGTACTTCTGTTGGGAGTACCCAACCTTTGCGTCTTTGAGTAAGGAGCATTTCCTCAGAGATTTCCAGAATGGCGTCGAACGCTATTGCTCTCCGATACTTGTGAACGCACTTTTGGCTCTTGGCTGCCGTTTCTCTAGTAAGCCGAGTACTAGAGCGAATCCCAACGACCCGTACACCTCTGGCGATCACTTTTTCAAAGAAGCACAAAGTCTATTCTACAAGGAGAAAAACCACCACAATCTCACCACCATTCAAGCCCTGGGTATCATGTCTATTCGAGAAGCCAGCTGTGGCAGAGACTCGGAAAGTTGGTACTATGCCGGACAAAGCATTCGTCTTGCTATCGAGATGGGACTTCACCAGCTCGAGGAAGATGGAGATGATGACGAGTTTGCGGTTCAGGCTGCAACTTTCTGGGGCGCATTCGCTCTCGACCAGTGAGTTTCTTGTATCGAAGTCTGGCATCATGTCTCGCAACCTAACTGTCTCTCAGTGCGTGGTCTTTAGCGACCGGCTCGCTTCCGCAATGTTCCTGCTTCCCTCATCTGCCGCCAAAGCCTGCCATAATAGATGACATAGAAGCCTCTCTTTGGATCCCTTACACTGACGATGGTAAGTCTTTGATAAACTTAGGCGAGGCTTCAGGCTCTCCAAGCGACAGAGGCTCAGGTTCATCGATAGGCGCACCATTGCAGCGGTCCGCCGAGCAGCCATCCAACGTTCGATCCGTTTATAAGTGCTTTTGTGAATTGAGCGAGCTCGTGCACCAAAGCCTCTACGTTTTGCACTCTCCGGGGCGGCCGCTGACTAGCCGTGACCTTCTCGGCATTTATACCCAGTATCTCAACTGGTATGACAAGATACCAGAGGTTCTGAGGCTCGGGCACAACTTTACACCAGCGGTCCTGTTCGCGCAGTAAGTTTGCTCAAAAGAGATACGTGGCTGCAACACGGACTAACCGGATACCGTCACAGCATGTACTATCATTTCGCGATCCTACTTCTGTTTCGACCCCTCATCAAGCTCAAGATCATTGGCTCTAAGCTATTACCCCGAGACGTATGTGGGCAGGCGGCAGATGCCATCCAAGGCCTGTTGCGATCCTACTCGCAATTGTACACTCTACGCCGGACGCCATCATTTGTCCCGTACTTTGTGCTCACATCAGCCATAATGCATCTTGCCATCGGTGCTACGACCTCTTCTTCACTGCCATTGCAGAAGGCCTTTGAAGGGCCAGGCCAAAACACGGATCCCAATGATCCACCGTCATACCCGCCTCGCGTTGTAGAAGCTATCCAGCAAGGTATTCGGGATCTGGAGGAGATGGCACCGTGCCACCATTTTGCTGAACAGGCGCTGAACATACTACGGTACCTTGCCAAGAAGTGGAACATGGACGTCGACATGGGCGGCGAAGTAGCCTCAGATGCCGAATACGCACATCTCGTCAGGCCGTACACGAGCAGTCTCAACTTCTTTGCGCCCAACGTCATTGAAGATGACTTCATATGCGCTTGGGGAGGCAGCGCCGATGCAGCTGACGTACCGAACCCGGCGGTAGCCATGAGTCTTAAATCCACGGAACCAGGACAAGCATCAGTCGAGCGGGCGGCCAAAGTGATGGAGAACCCTCTGTTTTGGCCGTTCCCGATGCAAGGGCGGCCGATGCTCCCTACTGGAGTTGAGCTCGCAGATGCTGGATTCGAGAGAATCTGATGCGGTCGAACAAAGGACTCGAACAATGCACCAAAACGAGATGCAGTCATATCGAATCCATTCAACCACAAGATGGACCTCTACGTATGAGTGGACTTGGGATCAAAGGCGAGGCCTCGTTCTGCCCGCACAGGAGTTTGGCCTCGGGCAAGGCATTTTGTTTTTGTGATACCCTACCATTTCTATTGGAGACGAAGACGACATGTGCTTCAGAGCAGGCGGTCTCGGGCCCCTTCCATGTACTTGTTGTAGCTATGTCGACGGGTTGTAAGTATAGCACAACAGTGCTAGGTCGCGGTGTTGCGAGGATCTAGAACGCAAATGCTAATCGCTTTGTGCAAATATGAAGATGGTTCCAGGGGGCCAAGGCCTGTAAGAGTGTAGTGCGAGTGAGGTTCGTTGTTGATATCGTCGTGAGGGTCTCTTGAGGTCCGTAAGGGTATGTCAATCTGAGTGTAAGTACCTAAGGTAGAAGTAAGTCTGGTAAGAAAGTGTATGCAAGTAGACGGACTATGATGTGGCAGGGATTGCCCTTACCGAGGCATGCAACGTAATTTCATTGGCCCAATGCATTGGACAGGTGGGTGATGATGCACTTTCCTATCTCATGCCAGAGACCCAGCGCACTTGCCTGAGGTGGCAGGGCCGAGAGGTGGCAGGCGACGCCGCGACCTCGGCTTATGGTCGGTCGCCCGCGGGCTCAGGTCAGATCAGCAGGAGCACAGGAGCAACAGGCGCACTCCACGTCAGTCGCGATGAGCGTGCCCCCCGAGGTCCCTGCAACTTTCCGTCATTAAACCATCCACCATCCTGTCTGCACCTACCTTACAGATACACCTGCACCACCTCGACTCTGGCGTTTGTGAGAGAGCTTACCCACGTTAATACCTAATTCGCACTTCCGCCAACCACTTTCACTTCCTTCACAAATCCCAGCGTCGCTGCGTTGTCATTCACAACCGCTTCTCTTCTTCTTCATTCCCTTCGTACTGACATCACCGCCGCGCGCTTTTCCTCTGTACTCGTTCAATCCCACCCTCCGATCCGACTATTCGTTGCGCAACCTTTGCCACGCCCTAATGATTTGAATCTTCCACTATGTCGACTTCCGCCGATATCCCCAACAAGACGCGGCTATCGCATCAGCCGTCCAAAATCCGCGCCGTTCTTTCATTACCGCCGCAATGGCTTCACATGTACGAAGAGTTCATCACCAAGAACTCTAGTCAGGTCTCTCAAATAGAGTCGGCTTTACGGTCCCTCACGTACATCATTCCTGGTAAGGCACTTCTCCGTACAAAAACTGTGCTCGCTATCGCCCGTCTAATACTGGCTCTGAAAGGTCGATTCCGCGACGCCGAAATTGCTTCCGAAACTGTCCACTCGAGTGTACAGCTCCTTTCTCTTTATCATGATACCCTTCTTATGCGCGCCCTGTCGCGCATCCCGATGGCGCGATTGCCGTCCCCTCATGCCCGATATACGAAATACTGGACTCAGCGCAGTCCCATGTACCGGCGCATTGCCATGTTATTGCAAATGGTCACATACACACAGCTACTATGCGAGATGGCTGCCAAGAGGCGTGGCGGCGAGCGCAGTCGATGGCGCGTCGTCGTGCTCTTGGAGGCTATCAAGGCCGTCTGCCGCCTGTTGCTCTTGCGCGTGACGCGCTCTCGACCTCTTGTGTCGCCCGTTCTCCCGGAACGTGAGCCTATCCCTGAAGAAACCGAGGCCGAAAGTGATGCCGCTTTGAAGGACATTTTGGAAGAGCCGACCAATGGGCATGTACCGGAAGACAGCGGGGAGGCCCAGAAGCCTCATGAGAAGGACTGGACGATGCCCAGAACGGGCATGAGCCTTCCTTCGCTGCCCAATGCCGGTGATATCAGCGGCTATCTCCTGGGCAAGGTGTTGACGGCGGAGGATATCAAACCAGCTGCAAAGCTGCTGAATCAGCTACAGGGCAGTGCACAGGCAGCAGAGGTGTTACACATCCTCGCACCGTTGGTGTATGCCATTGCTTTGTCGAAAAGCAAGAATAAGAAGTCATGGACACCGTGGCTAGTCGGTCTGAGCGTCGAATACGCAGCACGGCAACTCAGAGACCGGGGCTTCAGGACAACGCCCCTCGAACGCGACGAATGGAGCAAGAGAGGCTGGGCCATGGGTTGGTGGACCATGCGCGGAGCCTTCTACGAGAATATCATGAAGGGTGTTGTCGGCGGCGTGCGATCCAGAGTACCCAACCTGGTCGGTGGCATTCTGGAGGACTATGAGTATCTGTGGGAGAACTATTACTTCAGCACCAGTGCCTAATGTAGGCTGCTCGGCGATTGTTCTGCACCGGTGTCAGTCCTAACGATTGATGTCGTCTACAAGTCAGCATCCGCCTAGCTTTTGCAGAGTATTCCCTGCATTTCTATGCAATTCAGGACTTGATCATGGCGCCAAGAACCCTCCCAGACCGCCTCAAGCCACCGTCTAGGTCCCTCATGCGGCCCAGCAAGGACAGCGAATCAGACTTGTGAAGGCTTTCTTTTTGCCGTCACCACGCAAAATGCCAGGTGTTTGTGCAACTCGAGCTCCACGCATACCTATCCCCCAACATAACACCGTGCGTCGAACCCAAGCATTTCACTTTCTTTTGACGGGCATCGTAGAGTGAGTGGAGACACGCTGAGAGCTTGACATGCGGCTCTTGGGGGAGGCCAGGAGCCAAGCCAAATCGTCATCGACAAAACGTTTCCGATGCGAATGTGCAACGTGCGCAAAGGGACCCGGTTTCGTGCAAATCCTCCGAATGGCTACAACGTTGTCAAGAGGATCCATTGGTATCGTTCAAGGGGAGACTCGGGGAACACGCTCTGGGTCCAGTTTGGCCAGGCTCAATATACGTGTGAAGCCGGAAGCAAGGAGGGTTGCGACTCTGCGAGCCATGCTTCCTGAAATACCCAATTTGAGACAGCCGCCATAGCAAAGGAATGCAGTTCCGGTGCCACAGCAGTGGCGCAATGACGACTGTCGAGATATGTGCATCATCCGGGTGCTCAGCCGTTTGCTGGAGAAGTGAGGATTGCGGCCCTGATTCTCCGTTTCTTGTCTCGCCATGCTTGAACCGAGAGCGGCTATTGTCACGCGGTATTCCAAGGCTGGTAGTTCGGTTCGTATCACACGCGAACCCGAGTGCCGTACAAGGGGTTGAAGATGGTCAATGTTTGAACCCTAGAGTGTGGATCAGAGACCTAGATGATGGGTATCGGATGTTGGTAGGATCAGTATGACTAGCTAGCTGTTCAGCCACTTTTTGACCATCTTAGGCGTCGGCAAAATGAACAAGTGGTCCCTTTTAATGCTCCCTTGTGTATCTGTATCCGTAGCCTGCAAGACCCTTGTCCATCCGAGCGCTGCTCCCAAGTCCAGCTCGACACCAGCTCGACCAGGTTCTCTGCCGTTCAGCTTCCCACATCCCTTTTCTCGCCCGTTGAGCGTTTTATGTTATTTGCAGAAAGAAAGGAAAAGCCAAAAATCCACCAACGCAACACGCACGACACACCGCTGATCGTCGAAGAGGGCACATCCGACGGCGTACTTACTGTACCTAGGTATCCTATCTGCAGAGACGCAAGGAAAGGTACGGCAGCACCCCCCATGTCTCTCTTCTTGGAGACCTGTGCGGCGTGCCCTGGCTGGCTGGGAAAGCGGGCGTCCGGCGCGTGGCTTGTCGATCGTGGTGGTGTCAGTGGTTGGTTGTGGTCGTCCGGAAGTCGATTCCGTGGGACCCGGGGACGCTGTATTATTGCTTTTTCGAGTACTCCTACGGTTCGTTGTCGTCAAGGACTGCTGTGTAGGGTTTAGCTATGACTTTGGAGTTGGAGCTGCGGATCATCACACTGGGCACTGGACACTTCGATTCGGCGCTAGCTAGTAAGGTGAATTGGGGGTGTGGTGTAAGAAAAAATTCTTCACTTGGATCGGAATTTATTTTGTGAGGATTGATATGTTTCGTGATGGCTGGAGATGGGGGGATGTACTAGGTAAAGTAGGTTGTCACGTCACGCTGAAGCGAGGCTAGGGATGGGGAATTTGGGATGGGTGGGAAAGTCGGGAGTCGGAAGCGGATAGCGAGACTGAGACTTGGAGAGACTGGAGTACAGTATCCGTCCGTAGGTAGGGAGAAATCGTGGGATCACACCATGATCGTATTGTATCTCGGATCCCTCAGCCTGAATACGTTGGTTATTAGGTATGGTGTTCTCAGTCCGAATAAGTACAGCTGCGCAACTAACTAGACTAGGTATGACTAACTACCTGCCTGCCTGAGGTAGTCCATCCATCAAGCCATCCATCCATCATCCATGCTGGCTAGCCATGGTCCGTCAGCATTTCTGTCAGGCTCCAGTCCGTCAGCACCAACGGAACGGGGCTGCTGCACGTCGGCAACTTTCTTTGGCTCCTCCCAAGCGCAATCGTCAGGCCCAGTCGATCGGGTCGTCATTCGTCACATTTTCCTTTCGGGGTTGACGAGAAGGGGTTGCCAGGGGATGAGGTGGGAAATATCGGTAGCAGCTCAATAGTCAAGGTGTCTGGACGAGTGCCGGCGGTGGGATATGTCACTGGGCACAGGCCGTTAGGTTTAGTGTTAGAACGGGCGTTTTGCCCTGTCGTTTGAAATTTGAGGAGAGCCAAACGTGGGATTTTCCGGTCGTTTATGATTACAAGGCGTTTCTCTTTCTGGGGTCTTTTCGTATCAGTGATCAGTTGTATGTTGTTGTTGGGTAGCAAAAGGCATGGTGATGCAGAGCCGAAACTGCAACTTGACATACACACGTTGAGCTCAAGCAAGAGCTCAGGCAGAGAGCTCGGGCAAAGTAATCGCACAATCAACTGACATTACAACACAATACGGCAGTCTAAACCCCGAGCCCACGAAACCACGGGAAGCGAAACCAAGGCAGCGGGTAAAAGGGCTCAAACAGGCCACCTCCACTAACCATTCCGAGGTTCTTGTCTTTGACGCGTTTTGCGAGACTTGAATTCATCGCGGATCCATATTCCAGCGGGAATGGGCCCGAAGGAGGTTGACTTGTTGATGAGGGGCAAATACTTTGGGAAAAAAGCAAAAACAGACTCTCCACAACTAGGCCAAAACCTGCTAAACCTCTTCTTAGAGCGAGATGCAGCACCTCCTTTTACGCCACTCGACGCATCGCCTATTGGTCCGTCTTCCCCGGATCTTTGCCCATAGGTAGACGTCTCGGAGGCCTGTCCCTGGAGCTCCTCCTGTCGACTATCGACTTTTTGACAAGTCTTGCTTCGTCTATCGATCGGAGAGTTGTGGATTTTCTCTTAGTGCCGCGAATTAGGGTCCCAGCTGCGGATAGGGCGTCATGTTTTTTCGACATCAACCACACAAAACTAAGCAAACCACTGACAACTTCTACGGGTCTTGCGCAAATAAGTACACGGGAATATAAGCAATCCCTGGGAAAGAGGGGTCTCCTTGTGCCGAACCAATCCCAACGTGAGGCAGGGGGGGCTTGCTGAGATGCTGCTGGTAATGCTGAACGAGACACAAGTCTCAGAGGAATCTGCAACTCATCTGTCTTTTTCCTTCTGCATACGTCCGTACCGGGGGAGGCGTTTCTTCGTGTTCTCAACTGCAGATACAGATACCTACTTGAGTACCTACGCAACTACTTTGGGTACGCATACACAAGTACTCTGCGTGTGTGTGTGTCTGCGCGTGTGTAAGGGTGACGATTATTATGACACTGACAGCACATCGAAGCGGAGTCTGGACATAATGAAAAAAAAAGCCAAGCCGCAGCAGCACGCAACGCGCGCAGCACATCAGCGCACACTGCAGATGCAGATTGTGGCAGCGGCATGACACCCACGACATACACGCGCGCAAACAGGGGTGTCGGGGATGTCTTGATGCTCATCCAGGTGCAAGGCAACAGATATGTACCCGCGATGATGTCTCTCTTGAGGGAAGCATGGAACCCAACCTGGGAGCCACGAGGTTGCGCCCAATGTGTATCCGTATTATGTATCCGTAGGTGGTGGCCGTGTTGGCCCAGGCCCTTTCCGCCTCGTCTGATGATGTTTGATGACCTGCAGCATACATATCACAACGCAACCCGGCAGCATCCTGTCCTGCCTTCCCGTGCCGAGAGCGAGCCCTACCTATACCTATACATAGTAATGTGTCTTCTATACTATGACATAGGAGGCCAGCCTCGGGTCTTATCCTTTGGGTATCCGTACGGACACAACACTGGAGAATGAGATAGCACTGCAAAAGAAGGTTCGCTCATATCGAATCGATCTCGGCCCTGGCCCAACCGCCCGCTGTTGCTGCCCTTCCCCCCTCCTCTCCCGGATCAACCCCCTCCCCTTCCCAACCCCTGGCTGTTCACTTGATCCTTGCCTTTAGTCCCCTGGCTCCTCTCCCTGACCCCGGCCACTTTGGACTTTTTGGGCTCCAGTTTGGCAGTCTTCCCAAGATTATCTACTGCACGCTATCATTGTGTCGTACGTACGGATACGTACCCGTACCCGGGCCTGGCTCTCCTGCGCATCCGCTACGCCTACGCGTCGGCCTGCAGAAATTGGGCATCTTCCGTCCGCTGGAATCCGCCCCAGGTTCACCAGTCACGTTGCAAGGCGCAGACGTACGCAGTATAGTGCGTGTGTATGTGTGCCTGGGTAGCGACAGGGCCGACAAAGCACGCGTTGAGCGAACGACGACAAGGCGGAGAGAGAGAGATATACTTACTGAAAGGGTAATTGGGGCCACACAGAGACTCTGAGAGACAAAGTGTGTGTACTGCGTACACTAGGTATCCATCCGTAACGCGCATTGCTTTTTCCTTCTCGCGATACTCTGAGACTAGGGCCAGCCACCCTGGGGGGTAGTTTCTCGCCTTGCCCTTCTTTTTCTTTTTGATTCAGGTGAGCAACCAGCGAGAAAAAAACCGCTGGGTCACCGTGGGCTGGTACTGGGGAATTGCGATTGGGTTCATTGGATGGTACCTTGATTCTTGAGGGATTCCCCCCCGATCCCCCGATGCCCAGCCCAGCGCGGGAAGTCATCCAGCCCAGTGAACCAGAATATCGTGAGCGCAGGGGGGTGTCATTCAATCAGGATCTCCTCCTACATCTCCCGTCCTTTCTTCACTACATTCACTTCCGCTCAACTCTTTGTACAACTCTGTACACAACTTCCATCCACTCCCGGCACGCGTTGATTGTCTGAGATCTATCTCTCCGCTCCATCGTACATGACCCGACTCGCTTCCGCCCGTCCCTTCTCTTCGCCTCTCTCCGTACTTTGTGTTCCCTTTCTCATCTGCAGTTACCCGTGGGCAAGCAGCAGGCCAGCATCAGCAGCATCAATCAAATCACTTTCACAGCTGAAGATCCCGTGAGAAGAGCAAGCTGTCAGATACGTAAACGCCCCAGAATAGCAGGAAACCAGAACCCAGGAACCAGGAACCAGGAACCCAGGAAACGAAGCACAACCAGGCCAGACAATTTGGGGTCCTTTTCGTCCCCGGCTCTGCCGCCTTCTTTTTTTTACTTCAAGCACCCTCCAGGAGCACAACATCTTTCCCCCGCGTAACATGAGCCTGACAGTCTCCAATCGATTCGTCGGGCATCAGAATTCTCTCGGGGGAGGTGATTTCCATCCGTTTCCCTCGCCACATCATGGGTCTCTCATGTATAGCCCACAATGGCCACCAACACGCCCGGCTGCCGTTCAGGCCCAGCCACAAGAACGAGAGCCGCCTGGAGTTGCTGCTTCTTTGATACCATCGCACAACAGCGGCGGCGGCGGCGGCAGTGGCATTAGCAGCAGCAGCCGCCAAGGCACGGGACCTCCCCGCTTTGGTAGAGCACCGGATGTCACTGGTGGTCCGGCCTCTGCGGCCATCACGCGAGGAGGTGCAGCAAGCGCCGGCCCCGGCGGCGGCAACGGCGGCGGCAACGGCGGCGGGGATATTCACAGCAGCCAAGTCGGTGCCAACGACGGCACATATCCCGCACCAGCAGCTCAACAGCAGGCTGCTCCGGGTCCGCCTGCCGGGATCATCAACCCGTTCGACCTCTCTGCTGCTGAGCCCTCGCAGCCACGTCACGTTCTCGTTCGCGTAGACGGTGACACAGGATTTTACCTCGGCAACGCCGTGGGCCGTCCGGCGCCACAGGAGTTTTCTTTGCCGACGGAGGTAGACGGATCGCGGTCCGTGGCCAATGGGGACCAGATCCAGACCGGATGGAGTATCGACTACTACGGCCTCTCGCGCAGCCGCCACGAGTACGGCAACGGCATCGGGTGGCGGTGTCAGGAATCAGAGGCCGTGGCGGACGCGCAGGGGAACTTTGGGTGGCCGAGGAAGTACGTGTGTTCCATGTGTTGTCTGCGATGGAACGCCATGCCTCTGCCCGCCAAGGTGATTCGGGGCGATGTCAGTCAAAAGGACCGGATTGAACTAAGGATAGTACGTGCCGCCTTAACATATTCGGCCCCCTATTCACATAATGTCCGTGTGAGAGCAACACACGCTTACAAGACGCGCAGCCAAATCCGGCAGATGCACGGAGGGATCCCGGATTCTCTCGGCCGGGATGCTCAGAGGTACGTTCAATGACGCGCGCCTGTTTGGGGTTAAGACAAACCCGTCTTTTAAGGTGAACTTTATGAGTTGACAGTACCGGGGACCCCCAGTTACACTACTACCTCGATCATGAAGGACCTGGAAACGAGCCGTGCGTCCGGGGCCTTTGTCAAAAGTGCCGGCCGGTGTCTTTCCTGCCGGACTCGCAGCCGACGACCCACTGTTGCCCGCCCCCGGTGGCCGAGCCGGGCTACCTCAAGGAGATTTACCGGTGCATCATGGACAACTGCCCGTTCCTTACGGACACCCGGCGAGAGATGAAGGTATGAGGACAGCTAATGACGCTCACTAACCCGCACCATCTTTCAATTCAAAGGAAAGGTCTAACGGACTATCAGGCCCATCTCCATTCTCCAAGAAAGAACGGACACAAATCCTACTTGACATCTCTAGCAGCTCGCATCGAGCACGGCCAACCCCTTAGCGCAATCGACAAGGAAATCGCCTCCCGCCTGATGCTCATGTTCAACGACCGGGACGCCCGCGGGCAGAAATCCATCTCCCAGCCCATCAACACCGTCCTCGGGCCAGAGGACGTCAGCAGCCCGGCCATCCTGCGCGAGCACACGCAGTGGATGTCGTATCTAGGTCTTCACACGCCCGAGCTGCACCGACGGGACTTCTGGGATCCGCGGACGGGCGGGTGGTACTATCGCGAGTACAACATGGACGACGACTTTGAGGACGCGTGCGAGAATGTGAGGATTATCTCGCATGCTACGGGGAGGCCGGTGAAGCCGTCAGATTTCCTATGGCGCTGAGATGAGATTTCGCTTCATCGGCTTTTGGAGAAAATCACCATTGTATCTCTATTCGAAAACGGCGTTGGCTCAAACAACATACACGACTTGAGAAGGGGACGAGGAGGGGGAAAAGAGGAGGGGCGTATCACGACTTGATGCTTAGCTATGACCAACAACAGAAAACAGACACCAGACGACAGGACTTTCAGCCCAGCAAGGGCTTCGCAACTTGCTATTTAGACGACGGAACGGACGGAGCACACCCAAGGCTGTTAGGCCGCAGCGAAAGGGGTGCGTGTTATCATGGACTTTGATGGCGTATTATCTTCTTCTTCACATTACCGGCTTCATGAAAGGGGAAAAGGGCATTTCGTTTTTGAAATTATGAGGTGTTCGGAAAGAGCTACTAGGCTCTCTGTCTTTTTCTCTTGGCTCTCACGGCGAGAGAGAGGGGGCTCCGGCGTTTTGAAGTATTCTGCGGAGGCATCTTTTATTTTTCGACGGGGAGACTTTTGGAAATACCCTTCATGAGCATTATGACGGAGCGGGGGTTTAGTGGGAGATGCCAAAAGGCTGGTTCTTCTTCCTTGGGGAGGGAAGAGTTTGTACTTTAGGAGATGGGGATTTCTTGATCTTGGGGTGCTTGAAACATGACCGATTGAGTGAGGTCGATGATGATGGCTATTTGAGCTCGAGCGAACAGGGACTCAGTAGACGAGGGAGCCCTGAGATAGAGAGGTAGAAAATGTGTGCAGTAATTCAGGTATCTGGGTTTACTTGTAGAAATGGGAGCGATCAACACCACATTACCATCCTAACTTCATGGCCATGCGCCGCTCGCTACGGTTTGGATGGCAGCAATACTAGACGCGATACGGCTGACGAGAATGAGCAACATCTCAGTAGAATGGACCGCCTGCCCAGCGGGTACGTCGCTCGACTTTGACAATCTTTGCCGAGTCCAAGAGCTTCATCTCTGCCACATGTTTTCCTCTGTACTGATCGCGGAGATAAAGTGCCGGTGGCGGTGCCATGTTTCGGTAAATCTCCGTAATTCTCCCCTCGCAATGCGCGTCAGACATCATAGACACTGACGGCGACATAGGGAGTATCTTGACTACTGATAGCTGGAGCTCACTCGGACGTTAGATACTCGATGACTTTGCAGCTGTCCCTAGCTGTTGTTTCCCGGAAACAGGCACTGACGATGCTATTTTGAAAAAGCCGGGGGGTGTGGTGATGATCATAACAGTGAGAGGTGATTCCTACCTCCACTCCGCAAGAGTAATGTAAAATAAACTTCGGTTATACTTCATAACTATGATCGATACTGTGGGTACGGATCGGACCCAAATGACTAAGTATTACCATGTTGCTTCTCAACCCTTCCAAGAAATGAAACTCCAACTTCCTAGTCTACGACCCATTTGAGCAGAAGCTTTCATATTTTCTAAACTTCTAAAAGTCTTGTTGCCCTAGGAATCTCCGGCGACTTGTTCTGATGTAGTACTGCGAATTTCGCGACTGTATCAAAAGCTCAGAGAGTACCCGGGCCCTCGGTTCTCGTACAACTTCCCAAACCACCTGTCGTGATCTTCTCAAACCTAACCCTTACCCCAGGCGAGAAACCTTAGTGTTCGATTTGATACATTGTTAGGCTGGAAAGCGTTCTTGTAGTTCACGTGGTCTGTCCTTTCCATGACCCGGGTGAGGGCATGTACGATGAAACAAATCTGGGCAATCCTCTGATCCATCGCAGGTTGATTCCTTCACATCGATCGATCCGTCGATTGGTCCGTCAAATGAGTTGCAGGTGGTTAATCGTTTGGTGCGCTTGATTCGTACTTCAAGAGGATATTCTTCGGCCAAAGGGGCCGGTCCATCGCGACCAGATGGATCGGGACTGTCTTGCCCATTGTTAGGCGTATGGCTATCGGTTTCGCCGTTTTTGTGTTGACCCATTTTCAGATAGGTCTCAACTTGTTTGAGCCTGAGTCACTCGTTCTATGAATTGTGTTGGCGATGGACAATATGTCTTTCGACGCAGTGTTTGATGAAACTACGTGGATATCTATGTTGTGTAACCAACATGCCCTTTGATTCGGGGTTTATATATACTTAGATAAGATGGACTAGTATTAGTACTCCAAAATCAAAAGCAGCTGTTTGTTCTTTGATATTTGAACACAGTTGAGGGTGCGAAAGGCAGCTGTTCGTCTTTGACGTCTGGACAGCGGTGTGGGCGCGAGATAGTGAATAAACCATGCCAGGCTATTGGCCCTCGAGACACCAGCAGACGAATGACCGAACATAACTTTTCAGGCACTTGAGATCATTTGTCGTATCTGTGAGAGCGACCCAGCTGCAGGCTTGAGATTACCTCCCTGGATTCCTGATACCCACGATGCGTGACCTCACATCGTAAACTTGTCTTGATTTCTCTAGTCCGTCATGTGGCTTTCCTGACTGTAGCCCTTGCTGATGCGACCTAAATTACAGCTGACCCTCTGCAAATTTCGAATAGATTCGTCTGAATTCTGGGACAACAGCTATAGGAGGCAATGCTACTTGAGAAGAATGACCGTAGCTGGGCTACTGTCAATGGCGTATCTACTGTAGGCCCTAAAATCATCGGTTCTGGGCCAAGATCAAGACCAATTTGGGAAAAACGAGCGGATGGCCGCGGCTACCATTTTTCACTGCGGCATTACCGACATATGGACTCGGGTTGTACTGAAACTTTTGCTATTGAGGGAAGCTTGCTGCGGATCCAACAACAACTCAAATGACTGACTGAAACTATATTGCCTCAGAGCCCATCCAAGAACATGATCCTAACGCCTTGATCTACAAGCCACACAGCGGCAGCACCCACCATATTGCCCAAGCTTTTGAATGTATCGATTCTGGTGTGGTCGGTGAGGGGCTCGGACGACTCCTTGTCGATGTAAACCGGCGATACTCTATTATAAACATCGAGATGGTCTCAGGTCCGAGGCGTTTCCATAACCCTACGGCTTGTATGTTATATATTCCGTGGGTCCAGTGTCTTGGTTCGACCCAACCGCCTATCTATTTCAGGTTGAGATGGTTTCTGCCCACGATAGGGGTCCTGGTTAAGGCAAGGATCTTCTTCCAGGGAAGTCGTTCTCTCTCTGGGTGAACGATGACTGTAATTTTGTTGGCCGGATGTAGTATTGCCGCTGGTTTCGCTAGAAAAGCATTGCCCCATTTCCTAATAAATTTGGTGGTCGAGATTGAGATGTCTTCTATTCAAGGTGTTCGGATTGACGATGACTTTTGCGCAGTGTCTAGGAAATCAATCCATGCTATGACAGCCGAGACTCAGTCAAGTGTCGAATTTATATGGGCATGCGCCATTAGTACTTTCTTGACTCAAAAGTCAAAGCTGCTGTCATTCTTTCATACTCCGAGAGTGACCGGGTAACAGCTGTTCGTTCTTTGACAGCTGAACAGCGTCAAGAGTGTGAAAGACCGACCAGACTGTGCCAGACCGTTGGGTGCCGGCGGATGATAGTGAGAGAAAACCGAAGATGTCAGATATTTGAAATTAATTGTCATACCTCATTCTATGTATATTATTACAATTGTAGTCTATACTTTCCCATTCCCCAAAACCACATTTGCCATTCCCTAAAACGCCCACTGCCTGCACCAGTTTTGCATCAACTCAGGCGTCACAGCCTGCATCTCCTTCATCGTCTTGCTGCTCTTCGTCGTGCGTTCCATGGAGAACTCAACACCCTGTCCCTCACCCATAGCAAGGCCCTGGTAGAAGTCAAGCAGCTTGATACCGGGGTTCTTGTCGACATCGTCCGTTGTCGCCGTGCTGTTCTCCAACAGCTCAACCCACTCCTTGAAGGTAACCAGCTTCCTGATGACACCGTCGCCGTAGAACTCCCTGACGGCCTCAGCCAGGGTCTCCCAGGGCACAGTCCGGGGGTTCACGCCGTGGAAGTAGCCGTTAATCTTCTCCAAGGGAACGGGGGCGGCAATACCAGACACCTCGAGGATAAGGTTCGCGATACCTTCAATTGGTGTCCAGTTGACGGTTGCCATGGCGCCGAGGTCACGCGGCAGTGCACCGAGGTACTTGGAACTGGCGATGATGGTAGGAAGCCACTCCTGGCGGTTCCAGACGCCGTCCTTGGACTGCGGGCCGGCGACCTGTCCAACACGGACAACGGCGGTGGGCACGCCCGACACCTGCGTCGCCTCGTCGAGGATGAGAGAGCTGACCATCTTGGAGCGACCATAGCCCGTGCTCGGCAGAGACAAGTCCATCAGTCTCTTCTCCGGGACGGGGCCGGGACCCTGCCAGGTATCGACGGTGCCGATGGAGCTTACGAAGACGATGGGCACGTTCTTGGCGGCGCGGAGGGAGAAGTCGACCCAATGGCGGACGCCGCGGATGTGCGGCTCAAAGGTCTCGACTGAGATGTTAAAGTTGACGGGCCAGGCGTTGTGGATAATACGGTCTGCCTCCCTCAAGAGACGATCGTAGACTTCCGGCTCGAGGCCGAGATTGCTCTTGGACATGTCGACGCAGAGAAACTCTGCCTTTTTCCAGGTGGTGGCAAGTCCGCGCTCGGCGGACATCTTGATCTGTCGCTTGCCGCTGTCATCGCTGCGGTTGAGGCAGACGACCTTGGATACGGCCGGGTTGTGTTCCATGAAGTCCAGGAGGTAGGAGCCCAGGGCGCCGGTGGTGCCGGTGACAAGGACGGTCTGGCCCTTGTCGTTGGGCGCGGGCTTGGAGCCGGCATTGCTCTTGGGGAGGTCGCGGGTGTACTTTTGCAGCTGGGCCTCCATGGCGTGGATGTCGTGGTTTTCACTGTCGCCGTTGCTGTCTAAAGAGGTGTTCTTGCTGACGCGGTCCATGAGGTAGGCAGCTAGCTGGCGAGGTGTGGGATGGGCGTAGATAACGCGGGTTGCGATGGCATCGGCGGTGATGTTTGCGCCAGCGGCTTCGAGGCCCTTGCGGAGGAGGCGAGAGGCGTTGATAACCTGCATGGAGTCGATACCGGCACTGAAGAAGTCCGAGTCGGCGGAGAGAGCGCGGCTGCCGAGAGTCTGCTGGAAGAGCTTCTCGATGGAGTCGATCATTCCTTGCTGGGAGGAGACGTCAATGTTGACGGATAGGGAGTCGGCGCCGTCCTCGGCCTTGCTGTACCACGCGTCGAGCTCGTCTTTGTAGAGCTTTAGAGCCATAGGTCGCTGGATGGTGCCCTTGCCAGCACGGGGGAAGGGCTTCTCAGGGTTGGTGACGCCGATGAAGGCGCGGCCGATCTGGCCGTGGGCGACGGTCTCCTTGTTCGCCTTGACGACCAAGGGCCAGACGTCGTCGATGAATTGCTGAATGTCGTCCTCGGAAGTTAAGGGTTCGGTGGGTTCGACGATGAGGAAGGGCTGGAAGCGCATGGCGCCGGCGACGACGGCGCCCTTGACTCTCGCGTGACCGGTGACGATCTCCTCAATGGTGACGGGGTTGAGCTTCTCGCCGTTTGAGAAGACAATGATGTTGTCGGA